CCAAAGTACACAACCTTGACTTTCTTGAAATATCAGGTGATGAAAAAGTACAAATGTACTGTATGTAAAAGTGCTTAATGATTGCTTATGTTTCTTTGCACAGGGGAAGTTGACAGCTCAGGGAAAGTTATTGCAGCAGGACACGTTCTTCGTGACAGAGCAGGACTCTGGCGTGCTGTCCCGCAGTAAAGAGCGCAGAGTGTTCCTCTTTGAACAGATCGCCATCTTCAGCGAGCTGCTTCGGAAAGGCTCGTCAACACCAGGGTACCAGTTTAAAAAGAGCATCAAGGTACATTCAGCATAAGTTGATTCGAGTTCAATAAAAAACACCAAATACCCAACTTTTTTTTATTAACCTCTTGTGTGCAGGTGAGCTACCTGAGCATGGAGGAACATGTGGAGAGCGACCCCTGTAAGTTTGTGTTGTCATGTCGTGGCTCATCTGAACGACTGACGCTTCAGGCCGCTAACATCGACATCAAGAAAGAGTGGGTCCAAAGCATCCGAGAACTGCTGGACATGCAGATCAACTTCCTCACAGGTAAGCGCAATATGAAAGGGTTAAGGAAGATGGCAGTTGGTCATCATCATCATCATCATCATCATACACAAACAGATCTCAGTGCTGATTATTTAATTACACTCATTTTTGTTTGTGAGATCATTCATAACCTGCTCCTCATCTGTTTCTGATCAGCTCTCCAGAACCCACAGGAGTACCAGAAGAAAGAGAGTGGAGGTTCTTTGAGCAGGCAGCTGTCCAATAGCAGCCGTTCCTCATCCTCTCACCCCTCCACCCCCCTCAAACCCAACACCACCCCCAATGGAAGCCCCGCCCACAATCCCAATAAGCATGTAGAGGAGGTGAACATGATTCAAAACATTACATAAATCTCACATTAATTAATAGCTATGACTGTCAACCAGTTTGCAATATTTTATAAATTTTATAGAAAAAGATTACTTCAGATAACAAATTATTGATCAGAGTGATCACATATTAATAATTGCTGAAGTAAAGGCTCCAACTGAAGACAAGACATTGCATTAATGTGGCAGATGAAAATACTGAATACACAAATGTGGCTTTCGATATATTGTTTTATGTCCATATTATTGAACTTGGTACTTCAAGCTTGAATTGATCTGATTGTGGGTAAATTCCATCATGATGATAGGAATCGATGAAAAATAAATATTTAAATAAATAAAATAAGCTTAAATATACCAAATTTTACTGTTTCATTCTGCTTTCTAAACACTGGTCAGAAATCATGAAAGTAATCACAAATTCCTTTTTATTTATTTTTTCACAGTTGTAAATGGGGTTTTATGCCTGGAAAATATGTACCGTTGAAAAGGCTGGGGGTCGTTTTTTTAAAGAAGCCTCTTATGCTCACATTTATTTGATCAAAAATACAGTAAAAACATTAATGTTGTGAAATATTATTGCAATTTAAAATAACTGTTTCCCATTGTAATAGTGTTTAAAATGTAATTTATTCCTGTGATGCAAAGCTAAATTGTCATCAGCCATTAATGCAGTCGTCAGAGTCACATGAAATCTTTTTAAATTGCTGATTTGGTAATGAAAATGTATTATTATTATTATTATTTTCAGCAATGAAAACAATTGGCTGCTTAATATTTTTGTTAAATGTACATTTATTTGTTCTGGATTCTTTGATGAATAGAAAGAATAGCACGTGTTTAATTTATAATTTTTTGTGACAGTATAAGTATTTACTGTCATATCTGATCAATTTAATGCATTCTTGCTGAAAAAACCTTTTGAATGGTAGTGTAACTGCCTTTATATATTAGGGGGGCTTATCATATTTTGGGGTCTTTAGCATGAAAAAGACCATCTTTCTCACCACTGAACTGTGACGTGTAACTGATGTCCACAGCAAAAGCTCTGGAGTGAAAGCACCCTAATCAGCCTGTGTGACAGGAGACCAATTATCTCAGTAGCATTCTGTGCTGTTTAAACAGCATTGTGTAATCTAACTAAATCAATTAGTTATCCAGACCATTTTAATTAGTGTCTCATCCAGGCCAGATAGATGTAATTAAACGTAATTAGTTCACACTACACTAGTCGCTGCAGTCTGTGCATGCGTCTCCTGGATGAACTGGATGTGTCTGTGCTGCAGTGCTGTGAAGTTCCACTCTAATTGTCTTTGAGGGGAGGAGAGGTGCTGCTAGTTATTCTTAGTGGGGAGAATGGCCTAGTTTTCCAGCTCTGCCCGTGTTCTGTACCTGTTTCTCCTCTCAGTAGGGTCTCTTTCTTCTGTTCCGTTCTCGCTTTCTGTCTTCCTTGTTCTCTTTCTTCTCGCTGCAGTCTCTCTCTTTCTGATGAGCTTGTATCTTGGCCTTGGCACACTCTGCTTTTTTCTGTGTCCCTAATAAATCACACTGTCACTGAATACCAGACTGAAGGAGCCGCTTGCTACTTTTTATTTTTAAATGTCTAAGCTTTTCAGCCAGCTATTTATTTCTCATGCCAGGTCAAGGTTGACAGTGAGGAACAGACTTGTGTCTGTGTGAAGCTTTGTCCTGATTTGTCCGAAGTGTTCGACCGTATGATTGAAGGACATACGTTAAAGTATTTAATTTTATTTCAGTTCACGAGCTTGCAATTCGATTCTACTCTACTCTGATCTTGATTTGATTCATTTGGAGATATTTCTAGTCAAAAGAAATCAAATTGAATATATAGCAAAGTTCTCAAGAAAAAAACTGTAAAGCAGTAAACTATACACACAGGGTGGTAAATTACTATAATCTATAACACTCAGTGTTAAAATTAACAACGGATTTGAATACAAATATTTTAATTGCACAAAGCATGTAAGTGTCTATAATAAAAAAGATTATCACGTCTACTCCAATAAAAAAATTTTATATAAAAATTTAAGTTTTTTAAAAATATAAACAGGTTGGTTGGCATAAAAGCTTATTTTTATTATGGATTTATATAAATATTAATTTAACCTGTCCTTCAATATTTAATGTATATGTAATATATAGTGCATATTGAGCACAATGCTCTTTTTAGAGTTAATGTTTCTAGTTAAGTATGGACACTGGCATTTCTGAGGTAAATGTAACATTACATATTTCTTAAAAGCCATTTAATTGACATCTTTTTCAGTTAAAACGGATTAATAGATTACAGGAAACATGATACATTTCAGTAAGTTCTACTGTGTCTTTCAGCATACCTTCTGGTGTTCATTCATGTTTATTTCATACTGCAACTAATAGTAAAGAGGAGGAGATGATTGGTTCACGTGCCCAGCAATCTGTCACCACATTATAGTGCACCAAAACTGCTTTTTGTTTGAATTGTTTGAATTTCATAATAAAACTGACAAAATTTGAAAGCTGACACTGTTTTATATAAAAAGTAAGAAATCACAAAGCCTATTGAGATTTATTAGATGGGAGGTGGGCTACAATATTAATCTTTGGTTAAGTTTTATTCATGCATCAACTAAAAACAGCATAGACCGCAAAAGATTGATTCTTTGTATTTAATAACCAATATTGGTTCATCAAAATGAGATTGGGTTCAAATCGATATTTTTCAACCCAGCTCAATTAATTTGTATATTCTTGATCAGAATGTTTAGTCTCATGTTTTTGTGTTTCATTTTTGTGTTTCCAGGAGCTGGACGAGGGGGAGTGTAATGGACTGTCATCGGTGCTAGTGACGCAGGATTACAACGCTGTGAAGGAGGACGAGATCTGCGTGGTGGTTGGTGAGAAGGTACAGATCCTGGCGTCCAATCAGCAGAACATGTGCCTGGTTTACCGACCTGCAAACAGCCAATCGCCTGCTGCAGAGGGCTGGGTGCCGGGTCATGTGCTCTCCTCGACCCGGTAAAAAAAGCCAAGCCCCCTCAACACCTCGGAATAAACCACTACTCACATTCACCATTCAGTTTCACCAGCCTACTCTGGGAAAGCATGCCAAGACATGCCACTCAACCTCCTGCTAAGCTACTGTTGGTCAGTCAGAACAGGAAGTCCCGCCCCATTCCCCTGCCGCCGTACAGTTGAGGACTTAAAATGCACACTGCGAAAAATGGTTATTTCACCTCCCATAGTCGATATGGGCAACAACAAAAAACTAACTACAGAAAAAAGGAAGTTCAAGAAAATATATTATATTGCGAATAATTTAAAAAACGATTGTGTTGTATAGAGAGGAAACTTGTCAGTGAATTACGTGTGGATGTGTATGGATGTTAACGTCGTCCTTTCTCATCAACATGCTCCATTACACGCAACTGGACTGTTTTTAAATGGGGCTCTCCCTTTTTTCCCTGTCTGTCTATGCCAAGTCATTTGCACACTGTGTATATTTTCTTTTACTGAGATTTTATTTTTGGAAAGTTTTTTTTTTTTTTGTGGAGACTGTGATGCATTCTGTCTCTGATGCATACAAAGACAGCATTTATTTGTAAGAATGCTAAAGTCTTTACTTATAGTCCTTGCTGAATAAAAGCATTAAGTTGTTTTTAAAAACGCCTTACTTTTGAATAGTTATGTATATACGCGACAGAACATCAAAGAGACATTTTACTCAGCAACCATGTCATGGCAACACACTAAAAACTCCCAGAAAACATTGTCAGCATCACACTTTGTGGTTTTCAAGCCTCATTTACATAGTCGTACATAGTTGGAGAATCCGGGAGTCTGTGCCCCCATACAAGTCTCTTAGCGGGTCGGTGTTAGCAGATGGTTATTCTGTACCAAGGGATTTTTTGTGGTCCTTTCCTTAAGTGACTAATAAAATAAGAGTCAGAACAGTGTGTGTTTATGACATTTTAAACCCTTTTCTCACTAAAGCTGCGCACACAACAAGCCCTAAAGGAACAAAAATGCATTCATAAGCCAGTCTGAACATTGTCCTCATTCAGTCTATTACAGCTTGCATCGTGTGCCTGTTTTAATTTTTTATTTTTTTGACAGGGAATTGAACAAATATGCCAGTTCAGTCTGTCACCCCTCTTCCGTTCTTAATAGTAGACAGATAGCAGAAGAGGGGTAGATTTTAGCAAAAACAGACACTCAATCCAAAATCGATATCAAAACACATTTTTGTATGGGTTCTACTGCTCGTATTTATATTATTATTAGTAGTAGTAGTAGTAACGTATAGCAGTGTTATTTTAGTATCATTAATATAACATTACATTATTTGTTAATATTTTGAATTAGATTTGTATTTTGATATTTTCCACTTTCATTTTACTTACTGTAAATGTGTTTTTGTTAGATTTTTTACATTTTTTAATGTCGTCTTTATCTTTAACATTTTTATATATAGTTCTGGTTAACAATAACAATGCTATATGGTCAGATTATTATCCTATTTTAAGTTTCTTGTCTTGTTTTATTTGTTATTTGAAGGACTTTTTGAAGTACAGCACTAAAGCAGGTCTGGACTGTAAAGAGATAGAGGTAGGTCACTAAAGCAATTCTATATTAATATGTATAAATTACACCACATACACTTCTAGCTTTAGTGTCCTGTCATGTTTTGACATTGCTGGTCTGTAATTTTTATCCTGCAGAAAGCAGTTGAGCTGATGTCCCTGGTGCCCAAACAATGTAATGACATGATGAACCTTGGACGATTGCAGGGCTACGAGGTAAACTCATCTCTTTTGAGGTACATTCAATTGTTATTTAACTGGAATGATTACAATTACATATGTAGTCACAAAGGTGAGTTACATTACAATGGTGAGATAAAAAGTTGCAATTACCTTTTTTATTTTTTCACCATTCTACAACCAAATCTGCTTCCAAAAAATTCACAGGCAGTGCTGGAAAATCACAGAAACCAAAGTACACAACCTTGACTTTCTTGAAATATCAGGTGATGAAAAGGTGCAGATATACTGTATCTATCAGTGCTTTGATGATTGCTTAGGATTGCTTATGTTTGTTTGCACAGGGGAAGTTGACAGCTCAGGGAAAGTTATTGCAGCAGGACACGTTCTTCGTGACAGAGCAGGACTCTGGCGTGCTGTCCCGCAGTAAAGAGCGCAGAGTGTTCCTCTTTGAACAGATCGCCATCTTCAGCGAGCTGCTTCGGAAAGGCTCGTCAACACCAGGGTACCAGTTTAAAAAGAGCATCAAGGTACATTCAGCATAAGTTGATTCGAGTTCAATAAAAAACACCAAATACCCAACTTTTTTTTATTAACCTCTTGTGTGCAGGTGAGCTACCTGAGCATGGAGGAACATGTGGAGAGCGACCCCTGTAAGTTTGTGTTGTCATGTCGTGGCTCATCTGAACGACTGACGCTTCAGGCCGCTAACATCGACATCAAGAAAGAGTGGGTCCAAAGCATCCGAGAACTGCTGGACATGCAGATCAACTTCCTCACAGGTAAGCGCAATATGAAAGGGTTAAAGAAGATGGCAGTTGGTCATCATCATCATCATCATCATACACAAACAGATCTCAGTGCTGATTATTTAATTACACTCATTTTTGTTTGTGAGATCATTCATAACCTGCTCCTCATCTGTTTCTGATCAGCTCTCCAGAACCCACAGGAGTACCAGAAGAAAGAGAGTGGAGGTTCTTTGAGCAGGCAGCTGTCCAATAGCAGCCGTTCCTCATCCTCTCACCCCTCCACCCCCCTCAAACCCAACACCACCCCCAATGGAAGCCCCGCCCACAATCCCAATAAGCATGTAGAGGAGGTGAACATGATTCAAAACATTACATAAATCTCACATTAATTAATAGCTATGACTGTCAACCAGTTTGCAATATTTTATAAATTTTATAGAAAAAGATTACTTCAGATAACAAATTATTGATCAGAGTGATCACATATTAATAATTGCTGAAGTAAAGGCTCCAACTGAAGACAAGACATTGCATTAATGTGGCAGATGAAAATACTGAATACACAAATGTGGCTTTCGATATATTGTTTTATGTCCATATTATTGAACTTGGTACTTCAAGCTTGAATTGATCTGATTGTGGGTAAATTCCATCATGATGATAGGAATCGATGAAAAATAAATATTTAAATAAATAAAATAAGCTTAAATATACCAAATTTTACTGTTTCATTCTGCTTTCTAAACACTGGTCAGAAATCATGAAAGTAATCACAAATTCCTTTTTATTTATTTTTTCACAGTTGTAAATGGGGTTTTATGCCTGGAAAATATGTACCGTTGAAAAGGCTGGGGGTCGTTTTTTTAAAGAAGCCTCTTATGCTCACATTTATTTGATCAAAAATACAGTAAAAACATTAATGTTGTGAAATATTATTGCAATTTAAAATAACTGTTTCCCATTGTAATAGTGTTTAAAATGTAATTTATTCCTGTGATGCAAAGCTAAATTGTCATCAGCCATTAATGCAGTCGTCAGAGTCACATGAAATCTTTTTAAATTGCTGATTTGGTAATGAAAATGTATTATTATTATTATTATTTTCAGCAATGAAAACAATTGGCTGCTTAATATTTTTGTTAAATGTACATTTATTTGTTCTGGATTCTTTGATGAATAGAAAGAATAGCACGTGTTTAATTTATAATTTTTTGTGACAGTATAAGTATTTACTGTCATATCTGATCAATTTAATGCATTCTTGCTGAAAAAACCTTTTGAATGGTAGTGTAACTGCCTTTATATATTAGGGGGGCTTATCATATTTTGGGGTCTTTAGCATGAAAAAGACCATCTTTCTCACCACTGAACTGTGACGTGTAACTGATGTCCACAGCAAAAGCTCTGGAGTGAAAGCACCCTAATCAGCCTGTGTGACAGGAGACCAATTATCTCAGTAGCATTCTGTGCTGTTTAAACAGCATTGTGTAATCTAACTAAATCAATTAGTTATCCAGACCATTTTAATTAGTGTCTCATCCAGGCCAGATAGATGTAATTAAACGTAATTAGTTCACACTACACTAGTCGCTGCAGTCTGTGCATGCGTCTCCTGGATGAACTGGATGTGTCTGTGCTGCAGTGCTGTGAAGTTCCACTCTAATTGTCTTTGAGGGGAGGAGAGGTGCTGCTAGTTATTCTTAGTGGGGAGAATGGCCTAGTTTTCCAGCTCTGCCCGTGTTCTGTACCTGTTTCTCCTCTCAGTAGGGTCTCTTTCTTCTGTTCCGTTCTCGCTTTCTGTCTTCCTTGTTCTCTTTCTTCTCGCTGCAGTCTCTCTCTTTCTGATGAGCTTGTATCTTGGCCTTGGCACACTCTGCTTTTTTCTGTGTCCCTAATAAATCACACTGTCACTGAATACCAGACTGAAGGAGCCGCTTGCTACTTTTTATTTTTAAATGTCTAAGCTTTTCAGCCAGCTATTTATTTCTCATGCCAGGTCAAGGTTGACAGTGAGGAACAGACTTGTGTCTGTGTGAAGCTTTGTCCTGATTTGTCCGAAGTGTTCGACCGTATGATTGAAGGACATACGTTAAAGTATTTAATTTTATTTCAGTTCACGAGCTTGCAATTCGATTCTACTCTACTCTGATCTTGATTTGATTCATTTGGAGATATTTCTAGTCAAAAGAAATCAAATTGAATATATAGCAAAGTTCTCAAGAAAAAAACTGTAAAGCAGTAAACTATACACACAGGGTGGTAAATTACTATAATCTATAACACTCAGTGTTAAAATTAACAACGGATTTGAATACAAATATTTTAATTGCACAAAGCATGTAAGTGTCTATAATAAAAAAGATTATCACGTCTACTCCAATAAAAAAATTTTATATAAAAATTTAAGTTTTTTAAAAATATAAACAGGTTGGTTGGCATAAAAGCTTATTTTTATTATGGATTTATATAAATATTAATTTAACCTGTCCTTCAATATTTAATGTATATGTAATATATAGTGCATATTGAGCACAATGCTCTTTTTAGAGTTAATGTTTCTAGTTAAGTATGGACACTGGCATTTCTGAGGTAAATGTAACATTACATATTTCTTAAAAGCCATTTAATTGACATCTTTTTCAGTTAAAACGGATTAATAGATTACAGGAAACATGATACATTTCAGTAAGTTCTACTGTGTCTTTCAGCATACCTTCTGGTGTTCATTCATGTTTATTTCATACTGCAACTAATAGTAAAGAGGAGGAGATGATTGGTTCACGTGCCCAGCAATCTGTCACCACATTATAGTGCACCAAAACTGCTTTTTGTTTGAATTGTTTGAATTTCATAATAAAACTGACAAAATTTGAAAGCTGACACTGTTTTATATAAAAAGTAAGAAATCACAAAGCCTATTGAGATTTATTAGATGGGAGGTGGGCTACAATATTAATCTTTGGTTAAGTTTTATTCATGCATCAACTAAAAACAGCATAGACCGCAAAAGATTGATTCTTTGTATTTAATAACCAATATTGGTTCATCAAAATGAGATTGGGTTCAAATCGATATTTTTCAACCCAGCTCAATTAATTTGTATATTCTTGATCAGAATGTTTAGTCTCATGTTTTTGTGTTTCATTTTTGTGTTTCCAGGAGCTGGACGAGGGGGAGTGTAATGGACTGTCATCGGTGCTAGTGACGCAGGATTACAACGCTGTGAAGGAGGACGAGATCTGCGTGGTGGTTGGTGAGAAGGTACAGATCCTGGCGTCCAATCAGCAGAACATGTGCCTGGTTTACCGACCTGCAAACAGCCAATCGCCTGCTGCAGAGGGCTGGGTGCCGGGTCATGTGCTCTCCTCGACCCGGTAAAAAAAGCCAAGCCCCCTCAACACCTCGGAATAAACCACTACTCACATTCACCATTCAGTTTCACCAGCCTACTCTGGGAAAGCATGCCAAGACATGCCACTCAACCTCCTGCTAAGCTACTGTTGGTCAGTCAGAACAGGAAGTCCCGCCCCATTCCCCTGCCGCCGTACAGTTGAGGACTTAAAATGCACACTGCGAAAAATGGTTATTTCACCTCCCATAGTCGATATGGGCAACAACAAAAAACTAACTACAGAAAAAAGGAAGTTCAAGAAAATATATTATATTGCGAATAATTTAAAAAACGATTGTGTTGTATAGAGAGGAAACTTGTCAGTGAATTACGTGTGGATGTGTATGGATGTTAACGTCGTCCTTTCTCATCAACATGCTCCATTACACGCAACTGGACTGTTTTTAAATGGGGCTCTCCCTTTTTTCCCTGTCTGTCTATGCCAAGTCATTTGCACACTGTGTATATTTTCTTTTACTGAGATTTTATTTTTGGAAAGTTTTTTTTTTCCCCCTAAGTGTCTTATTTTTACAGCTATTAGGCGTGGCACATTTATTATTTTCTTTCAGTTCTGTCAACCCGTTCAGTGTTCTGTCCAAAGTATTCTGCACTTTTCCAACAAATAGTATCGCAATGACGGCAAGTTGTGCAGTACCACAATTGTCACAATGCTCATAACTGTACTTGTAACTAAAGATTTAAATGTATTATTCTGTATCATTTTAAATTTGTACATAATATTTTTGACATTGCCATAATAGATGCACAGCAGAGGAAAACAGTCCCTCTATTCCTGTCAGGCTCTAGAGGAAAAAGAAAAACTTAAACTAAGCCCTGGTAGTCTGCACTGCCTCCAAAACCCAACCCTCTGATATTACATTCGACATAATCTGATTTAGTATGTAATAAGTTATGATCTGAATCATATCAGAACAGATGTTTACTCAAATTAGTCGATTAAAAATGGATGTTGTTGATTTCTGAAGAGTAGTCAGCGTTCAAATCTCAGATATACGTGTAAATAAACGTATAAAAATAATTCTAGCAGGTATTTCACTTGTTAAACTCTGGAATGTTGTTCATAATAAAGCTGACAATTTTTCATCTTGGAAATTATGTGTTCTGTATCATTTGAACATCTGTGCATCTATCGTCAGCTGCAACTACAGTGCCTTGCGAAAGTATTCACAAAGTATTCTTTTTTTTTTTTACATTTTATGTTGCTGCCTTATGATAAACTTCTTTAAATTACTTTTTTCCCCACATCAATCTACACTCCATACATCATACTAACAAAGCAAAAACAGAATTGTCACAACTTCGTAAATTTATTAAAAATAAAAAAACTGAAATAAGTACATTGCATAAGTATTCTAAATACTAAATATCTAAGTAACTAAATATTTAGCTGAAGCACCTTAACAGCCTCAAGTCTTTTTTTGTTTGATGTGACAAGCTTTGCTCATCAGCATTTTGCAATTGTCTGCCATTCTTCTCCTCACCTCTTCACCTCTCAAGCTCTGTCAGGTTGGATGAGGGCAGACACACATTTTCAGGTTTCTCCAGAAATATTTGATTGGGTTCAAGCCCAGGCTGTGGCTGGGCCACTCAAGGACATTCACAGAGTTGTCTATAAGCCACTCTTGCTGTGTGCTTAGGTTCATTGTCCTGTTGGAAGGTGAACCTTCTGCCCAGTCGGAGTTTCTGAATGCTCTGGACTAGGTTTTTATTAAGGCTATCTCTATATTTTGCTGCACTGAGCATTTCTTCTACTCTAACGAGTCCCTCAGTCCCTGCTGATGAAAAAGAGCTCCACAGCATGAGGCTGCTGCCAGCACACTTTACTTTTGGGATGGTACTCTGCAGGTGATGAGCGGAGCTGGTTCCAAGTGTGTTTTCATGTGTCTTAACTGAGAAGAGGATTGAGTTTGGCCACACCGCCATAAAGACTGGATTGGTGGAGTGTTGCAGCGATGTTTGTCTCCACATATGATCACGGAGCTCAACTAGAGTGACCATCAGGTTTTCTTGGTCACCACTCTAACCAAAGCTCTTCTCCATCAATTGCTCAGTTTGGCCAGGAGGCCAGCTCTAGGAAGAGTCCTGGTTGTTTCAAACTTCTTCCATTAAGGGTAACAGAGACTACATGCTTCTGTGACCCTTAAATGAAGCAGAATTTTTTTATGAACTCTTCCACAGATGTGTGGCTTGACGCAAACATGATTCTGATCTCTACATGCAGTTCTTTTAACATCAGGGCTTGGTTTTTGCTCTGATATGCATGATCAGCTATTAGACCTTTTATTAAGACGTGTATGCCTTTCCAAATCATACCCATTCAATTGAATTTGCCACAGGTTAACTTCGCTTGAAGTGTAGTGACATCTACAAGCAAAATGAGTGCTCCTGAGCTAAATTTCAACTGTCCCAGATAAAATGGAATTCAATGGAATCATTTAGTTTTTTTATTTTTAATAAATTTGCAAAGATGTTAAAAACCTGTTTTTTGCTTGACAGTTATGGTGTATGGAGTGTAGATTGTTGTGGGGAAAAAACGAATTTAAAGCAGTTAAGGCAGCAACAAAACAAAATGTGAAAAAAATGAAGGGGTATGAATACATTCGCAAGGCACTGTATACAGTGGTTACAGAGCGATTGTGCTTAAAACGTGAATATAAAATTTCAGTCTATATACATATACGCAGTGTTGGGGGTAATGCATTACAAGTAACGCGAGTTACGTAATCAGATTACTTTTTTTAAGTATGCATTACTTTTTCATTTAGAAGAAAATATCGGAGTTAATTTTTCAAATAAGTAACTCCAGTTACTTCGTTTCCATGTATTGACTGACAGCTCTGGTGTTGCCATGCTGAGAGAAATCAGGAGTAAGTGCAGAGCGTTGTGTGTGAACATGATCTTACTGTAGTTCTAGACTAAATATGAACATGTTTACACTCATCTCACCTGCACTAAAACAGATTCAGTATTCCTCAAAATGAATAAAAACAGTCAAATGCAAACTCAGAATATTATACAAACCTGCAATAATTAAATGTGTTAAATAAGACAAATATCATTTATGTATTTAATCCCATTTTATTAACCAATATCTTTGCTACTGACCTTCGATGATCCAATTTAACCATACTAATAATCAAAAATGGCACATTTGTGTTTGATCTTAGTTATTGCTGAATAGTGTTGAACTCCTGAATTTGCGCTGCACCCTCTACTGTACAGACGTGAATTTACATTTCCTTCAGCCTGAGGCGTATTCATTTCACTTTTCTTATAAAAAAGTTCTTCTTTTACAAACATAAAAGCCCTTTAATATTAAAAACAAGCAAGCAAGCCCTGCCCAGATTTTAAAAGTAACTCAAAAGTAACGCAACGCATTACTTTCCATAAAAAGTAACTAAGTAACGTAAGTAGTTACTTTTTTTAGGGAGTAACGCAATATTGTAATGCATTACTTTTAAAAGTAACTTTCCCCAACACTGCATATACGCATATATATATATATATATATATACACACTCTCTCTCAATATTACAGTAGTTATTGTATGTGCATGTTACAGTGAAAAACTCCTGAAGAAAACAAATTGTTACTGCAGTTACTTGTATATTTATATACAAGTACACATGAACAATATAACTATATATATATATATATATATATATACACACACTTTCTCAATATTACAGTAGTTATTGTATGTGCATGTTACAGTGAAAAACTCCTGAAGAAAACAAATTGTTACTGCAGTTACTTGTATATTTATATACAAGTACACATGAACAATATAACAAATTGTGAACAATTGTTTCTGATCATTCATTCTGAAAGCAGAACAGTGGAACAATCACATGAAATATGAAAAATGCACAAACATAGCTGTCATCTACATTCTGTTCTCCATCCCAGTGATGCTTGGTAACAACCACGGTCAGGCAAAGGGAGTACTTTTTCCCTTATTAAAACAAACAATAAGGGGGGAAATGGATTAACGTGTTTATTGGTGGTGATGAACAAGCTACCTGTGCCTCGAATTTACAGCTAATTATCCTATCCATGACTCAGGGGCGGACATAACCAATAAGCTCTAAATGAAAGGCTGTTGTAGATATTGATTATATTAAATGTAATAAATAATTGTTTAAAATTACATTTAAAATGGTAACAGAATTGACACTGCATGATGCCATAAAATTAATGGACAAGTGAGAATGATGCATTCATTTCTACAATGGTTTATTAACTGAAACGTTTGTGTGTGATGCTGCATCCAAACCACTAGGTGTCAGTTTAAGTCCAAAATGACTGCCATATTGGCTAGTGCAACTACAGAGATGTGATGGTAGATCCAAACCAGGTAAGATTGTTACTAGGGGTGCAACGGTTCAACTTACTCACGGTTCGGTTTGTATCACGGTCTTAGAGTCACGGTTTCGGTACGGTTCGGTATGTGCTATGTTTAGGGAAACAACTATATTGTCAAATAAAAATAATGAAGATAACAAATAATCTAACTACAAGCAACAGCACAAATAAATACAATAGAGCAAAGATACAAATATAATAAACAGTGCTTTTCAGTTTTTTTTAGGTAGGTCTAACATTAGTTTTTAGGTACAGATATTGAACAAAGTATGCAAAAAATGTAAAATAACATTGCATATTTGACTGTATAAATTAAAGATGAATCCTTATTAAAGTTACAAAAGTTAGTCAATCAAGTGCAGTGACTGATTTCCGTGTTGTTGCCGTTTGATTAACATTAAGAAAGTGCTGTCACTTTAAGAGAACTGATACCGTACGTTCAGCCGACTATGTCTGCTAGGATACTCACCAAGACGGGAATATTTTGACATAATTTTTGAGTGAATTTGTCCATTCAAGCACAATACTTCACAGAGAGCTTAATATTTGCAAGCGTTCTGAGACGCGGGTTCACGCGCTTCGGATGAGAGCACACACAGGTCTTCTGGTGCTTTAATATTTAAACTGGCCAGTGAGTTTAGTTTAAACACAGATAGCAACGTGTGCTGTTCAGGTCTCACCTGCGTTATCAGGGAAAAAATACTATGGAAGTCACTGGCAACCACCAACTGTTTGATTACCAGCAATCTTCAAAATATCTTCTTTTGTGTTCAACATAAGAAAGCAACTCATACAGGTTTGGAACGACATGAGGGTGAGTAAATGATGACAGAATTTTCATTTTTGGGTGAACTATCTCTTTAAGTTGAACCGCGGTTCTAGTGCATGCCGAACCGTGTGTGGAGAACGGTACGGTTCGATTTTTTACCGAGAACCGTTGCACCCCTAATTGTTACCTATACGGCTTGTAATAGTAAGTAATAGTCTACAATTCAGGCCTGCAGATATAAATTTACGTAACTCTCACAATACATATTTTAAAATATTGGGGATTATTATAGGCCTATTCCTTTGAAGTAAAAAGAAATAGATTTATTTTGCTGTGTGAGTCAATAATTCATGCATCAGAGGATTAAATACAAGACAAAACTATTAAATATTTACCGTTACCTCAAAAGAAAACAATGGGATGCCTGCATGCTCCTCCGTCCATTGTTGGTATTGTGGTCATTACTTTATATCAAAATCTTTTATTCATCAAAGCCTGGTTCAGTTGGATCTCCTGTGATGAGATTTTATACTGGTGAACATTTCACTAGATCATCAATACCAGACCAGACAAATGAATAGGTCATTTCTTGAAATGCAGTTTGATATGTAGCTAATAAAATGGGGGAGACCTGTATGACTTGCTCCACAAGAATTGCAAAAAAACAAAACTGATTTGTTAGAGTGATGTACACATATACAATTGTTTATTATTATTATTATGATGTTCGATATTTACCAATTTAAAATGTTCTCCATTATTATTAAGAATTAAGATGCTTAAAATGAACTGGGTTGAGGTGGGGATTGATGGGAGAAATTAGGCTAAATGGCAGTAGTGTTACAACAGCATTCTCTGTACTTACTACTAATTTATACATTTATATAGCCTATAGGTTGTATTTTTCAAAACAAGGCATTTGTAGCAGATGAATATGGAAAAAATGACCCAAAAAACCAACAACAACAACACTCTACGCTCTCCCCAGCTGATGCTGTATAAACTAAGATGTTTTGATTTCCTAAAATGAATTCCTAAAAACAACAAAATACTCCCTTCTCTACCTTAAGCATTACACTGTAAAAAAAATTCTGTAGTTTTTACAAAAGAATTTTGGCAGCTGTGGTTGCCAGAATAATTTTGTAAAAAATACAGAAAAACTGTAAACACATCTACGGCCAAAAACTGTACATTTTACAGTATAAAACTGTAATTTACAAACAAGAAAATTTGAATGTAAATCAGTAAATGATGAATATGGAAAAAATGACCCAAAAAAACAACAACAACAACACTCTACGCTCTCCCCAGCTGATGCTGTATAAACTAAGATGTTTTAAAACTCTGCCTTAAAATGATATTGATTTCCTAAAATGAATTCCTAAAAACAACAAAATACTCCCTTCTCTACCTTAAGCATTACACTGTAAAAAAAATTCTGTAGTTTTTACAAAAGAATTTTGGCAGCTGTGGTTGCCAGAATAATTTTGTAAAAAATACAGAAAAACTGTAAACACATCTACGGCCAAAAACTGTACATTTTACAGTATAAAACTGTAATTTACAAACAAGAAAATTTGAATGTAAATCAGTAAATTCAACAATGCACACTGCTATTAAAATCTGTTTTGTACCTTTAACATACTGACAACCACCATAATAATGCAGGTGGTTAAAGAGAAAGCCAAATGAAGAATCACAGCTCATCACAAGCAGCTTCGCCACAAGCAGAAGTATATACTAACATATAGAAGGTGCACAGAGTCATTCATGCAAACACAAAACACCATCATGGTAACACACGATACTTAAATAATGCACTAAACTTTCATTAAACAACAGATGTATAAAGCCCAAATATACATAACTAATAACAAAAACTATTAAAAAAAACATGATTATTTAAACAAAATACTTTAAAATGTGGAGTGTCATGCAGGGAATTCTGGGAATATCAGTTTACAGTTTTTGACTGTAAATTATACATTGATTTGTTATTTTACTTCTAAAAACTAAAACAGCATTTTACTGTAAAATTACATGAAATGTCTGGTTAGATATTTTACAGTTTTTCCCTGTATATAGTACGGGAACTTACTATTAACCTATTAACAGTTTTTTCCCGTAGCGTTTAAAAAAACAATTGTACAGTTAAAATTACACTTATTTTTTACAGTGTACTGGACAGATTGCAGTACTGTTACTTGATCTTTAAATCCATCTGTAGAATACAAAACCAGGATTTCTCGGTTCGCAACAACTGAAAACTAGAGAATGTAAATACAGTCAGAGATGGCTTTATTGGTTTTGATAGGGTGACCATATTTTAGTTTTCCAAAAAGAGGACAGTGGGGGGTGGGGTTTGTGGGCGGGGGAAGGTTGCAGGGTTTCGCCTAACACGGTATACGTAGCAAGGTTTTTTTTGTTTGTTTGCTTGTTTTCTTTTTAGAATAAATAAAAAGAAAATAAGTAGATAGAATAGAAAAAGAATAGGGAATGCTTGTGTTAGAAGGTCATTATTTATAATAAATAAAAAGAAAACAAGAATAGAGAATGCTAGTGTTAAAGGCTCTTTTTCTTTTTAAATAAAACAAGCAGTTAGAATAGTGCGCAAATGTTAGAGGGTCAGGTTTATTTAATTAAAAAAACAAGCAGATAAAATTAGAATTAGCATTAGAATAAAGAGTGCTAGAGTTAGAGGGTCAAATGAAGATGAAAGACAGTTTTTTTTAGCCGTTTCTTGAAAATGATTAAACTCAGCTTCATTCCACCAGGAGGGAACAGTTAATGAAAAAGTCCATGAAAGTTTTATCACGGGTTGAACTTGAAAGCAAAATATTTCAATACAGGCATTTCAGTCAAATGTAATTTATGCAATATTTCAAACCTTTAACCCACTTGGGAAAATAAACCCATGGCAAACAGTTTAAAAGTAGCCCAGTTCTGTGGAAAAAACGCAGACTTGGCAACCCTACATCCAACAAGAGTTGCAGGAGTCTTTGACTGATCACAGTTCGAGAATAAGGAGCGATGACTGACAAGACCATGCTGGAGTATTTGCTGCTCAACAGATCCTGAGCTCACCGACAAATATCTGATCTTGCAAGATGTGCTCCCTTTATACAGAGTGCATGTGATCGAAAGTGAACAGCGCGAACGCTCATTCAAAAGAGATTTAAATACTTGCATACTGATAGCTTCTCCCTGATGCGACAAAATTATATACACAATATTAGAATGTTTAAAGGAGTGGACACGAAAATCACCGAGCGAAACACATATTGCGGGAGCAGGCAGCAATGGTCAGAAATTCAGCGGGAGCGGGATAAAGAAAACAGCCGAATCCCGGACATTTTGGGCAATTAAAAAATCCTGGCCGGACGGATTTTTTTAGGTCCAAAAAGAGGACATGTCCAGTGAAAAGAGGACGTATGGTCATCCTAGGTTTTGATAACATTTACAGTCGAGAGTCAGCCAATTTTAACAAAAGCCATTTATTTCAGTACTTAAAAAGCGTATGGAATGACAGAAAAAGCTTTATAAAAATGTGTATTATTTAAAAATGCTCTCATTATGCATCATTTGCTGTTATTTGCTATACGTGTGTGAATATACTGGATAAAATAGGCCTATTATGCACATTAATAATAAAATAAGCTTTTTTTTTTTAATTTTTTTAAAGGGGTCCTATTATGCTTTTTCACTTTATCAACTTTAGTCTCTAATGTTGCTGTTTGAGCATAAAAAAGATATGCAAAGTTTCAAAGCTCAAAGTCCACTTCAAAAGGAGATATTTTATTTTACAGAAATCACTTTTCAAAAACTACAACGAACGGCTCGTTTGGACTACAACGCACATTTTCCGGGATTTGTGATATCACAAATATCGACGAATGGGGACGAGACCTGACTGAGCTGCACTAGAGAAGGCAACGAGTGTTATCACTATGTCGGAGACACGCTAGCTTTCCCAAGGCAGACGAACTTAGAGTGGTTAAAATCATCCGGGTTTAAATCGCGCTCAAATTGATTTGATATTGACGCAATATTTACACTGAAGCTCGCAGGCGGCTATGCTAAGGGGCATGACATTTCTCGACCAGGCGCTGAGTGCTGCCAATCACAGCACACACTGGCCCAGCTAACCAATCACAGCACACACTGGCCCAGCTAACCAATCACAGCACACACTGGCCCAGCTAACCAATCACAACACACGCTGGCCCAGCTAACCAATCACAGTACATTTCGTATTTCAGAAGGCGGGCCTTCATTTGATACTATTCGAGCCGTTCATGCCAGACTGGGGAGAGAGGTGTTGTAATAATGTAAAACATGAAAAATAATGTGTTTTTCGAACAACCTAGTATGAGAGCCTGTTCTAGTACACCCCCAAAACAAAATCAAGACTTTATAAAAGAGCGTAATAGGACCCCTTTAAAGATAGGCTACCTCCAACACCTTTATATAAGCTAACTCCCAGTCCTTAACAGAGCAATGGCTTTAGCTTTTTATTTCCTCCTTGTTCATTTTGTCACTGTGTAAACAAAGACATAGGCCTAATTAATGAAGTACCTTGAGTAGTCAGAGCAAAATCTCGTATACTTCAATAGAAATATTTCATTTAGAACAAGTTTACACATATAAACTGGTAATAGATAGTAGATATTACGTGACATGAATCACCCGGCTGATTCTTTTGCTCAATCAGCTCGTCCAAGTCGCTTCAAAAGCTATGTCTGACAAACTCTTGAGCAACAGAGAATCACATGCACTTAACTATTATAGCTATAATTAACGTCCTTGTTGTAATATTATTGCACTGCAACTGAAACACTGAAATTGCTCTTTATTGATACAAAAACAGCTCCACTGTTATATTAGTAGCTGGATAGCCTACTATTATAGTTATTTTAAATTAGTTTAATTGTACATTTAAATTTATATTTTAGTTGCTAAGTGTAATGTCATTATTATTATTATTTAATGTGTATAGCTTTTTATACATTTTTATTTAAATTTATATCAGTACATCAAGGTACGCAAAAATAAAATGTGAATTGCTGCCTTAGCAATAGCTGAAATGCAATAAGCTTTTCACAGATGCAAGTCAACGTGAGTGGTTTGGCAACAGGTTTATTTATATAAACTACCATTTCTAGTTCATTCCGTTTCCAGTTAAACTTTCGATTTAATCCGTTGCTTTCATCCTGGCTCGGAACAAATATCAAGGGAAGAGTAGATTTCCAAAGAATGTCTTTTGATTAAAGTTTGAACAAATGCCATAACATCAAAATTAAATGAATATATTAAAAACAGCAAAGATAGCATCATTAAAAAAAATAATAGAGTCTTTTTAAAAACATTCTTTCTGCTTGATCAGATACTTGATGGGCATAGCAAATAGCAGGTTTTGTTGTCTAGTATCTCTGCAGAGTCACTGCCACCAACACATGAACAGAAGGTCTTTGTTTCTTCTGTCTCTTTCCTGATTTCCCTTCACACTGTTTAAAAAAAGCAATAGTGATTTTGCAAGAGACTTGGTACTCATATCTCTCTGTTGGATTTTTTTAGACTGTTTGCAAATGCTTCTTTAACAATGTAACCTAGGTGAATTGAACACCTCAGCTGTAAATATCTCTTATAATATTTAAGCTCAGTTGTGATTTTTCACTTTTAACCTAAATGACCACAGACAGCATTTCACAAAAACTTCTCAAAAGGCAAACTTTAAGGCAAAATTATTTGAATTAAAGGTACTGATTTTGGTTAACAGATTGATTGGAGCTGGCTGGCATCAAGCCCGAGGGATAAACTGTAGGTCAATAGGTTTGGAGGGAATGAGCAGGGTTCTGGTTTTGGGATGTATCGACGGGGCTCCCTCCTCCGTTCTGACTTCATAATGTTGCATCAGCTGTGGGGTAAAAGGGCAAAGTGTTAAATTAATGAGAGCATGAGAGAGATAACAATAGTGAGGTAACTGAAGTTTAAACATCAGCTTCAAATTAGATCAACAAGAAGTTTGGAATGCACGTGACTAAATATATTTCTTAGAAAACAGATTGAAATTTTATTTGAAACTTTTTCGATTTAAAGGTTTCTTTAAAGTTAAAGAAAACTAGTTTTAGAGATCTAAATTGTGCATATATGGAATTTCTATAACAAATCTAAACTGTCATATTTTTTAATGAATGGGCTGATCAGATAGTGAAGGAAAACTAAACTAAATATAAGATTTGATTAGTGTAACTTTCTTCATCACTACATAATGTCATTTGTGATATTTCTCAGACTTTTCCATCTGGCGTGTCCATACTTTGTAAACTAGCAACGAACAATGAAAGCTAAAGCAATAGGCCCGGGTATTGAAATTGAAAACAATTTACAAGCTTTTGGTTTGATTTTGAGCCAATTTGATATAGATGCATTTGTAATTTTATTAGGTACAGTACATGTAAGTTTTTCTTAAAAATCTAAACTAATGCTGTAAATTATACAGGGTAACCCGTCAGTTGCTACTATAAAATGAATGGTTAAAATGAACAACATATTCCAAATTCAATTGCAGTTTTTTAGATATAATAATCGACACTCAAACTTAGTTGTATACAAACATTCAAACTGTACATAAGGCAGTTTTTATATGAACCTTTTAACTATGTGCGTCTACTCCAATTCATTTTTAAAACATGAACATTTAAATGGAGGATGTTCTAAAAATGTTTTGATGACAGATTTATTCAATCGTACCATAAATAAGACAGTGATTATGTAATATAGTGCAAATATTCAGCAAAATGCTCCTCTCTAGAGTCTTTTTTTTAGCTAACTCAGGCTTTCCTGAGGTAAATGTCGCATTACATAACATTGTTTACAAGCTGTTTTATTGACCGCTGTTGAAACACTGATTGAGCGATTACATGAGACATGATACTTTTCAGTGAGTTGTACTGTGCTTTCAACACACCTTCTGATGTTCATTTATGTTTATTTCATGCTATAACTAGTACTAAAGAGGACTGATGTGCACTTGCCATATGAACTGAGGCACACCATATTAAAGTGTGTCAGAATTTTGTTATACAATTGACAGAATTTGAAAGCTTAGACTTTTGGAAGTATATTTATCAGACTTTGGATGTATATTTTGGAATTTAGGGATGATGATTGATTGAAAACAGCTAATCAATATTGTCAACCTGGTTTTGTTCTTGGTTTAACAGAATATTTTGACTATTGGGTGTGAAACTGAACTTGCAGATAGTGTGAAAGCGTCATACTTACTCTACTTAGGGCAAAGTACATCTCCAGCTCTGCGACCCTCTTCCCCACGCAGGCCCGAACACCAACCCCAAACGGGACAGAACTGTAGGGGTGATGCTGAGAGCGAGACGGGTTGTCTCTCAACCAGCGGTCTGGAACAAAGCACTCCGGTTCAGGGAAATTACTCTCGTCGTGACTAACAGCGTAGTGACAGAGATGGAACTGTGTCTGTGAAGAGAGAAAGAGAGAGAAAACACATGAAGGCTGGAGTTAGGCCAGGTTTAATTACTGTATTACATGTTTCAATAGAACTATTTGAGCTGTGCACGTGTCTGTGTGGTTACCTTCTTAGGGAACCAATAATTATCCACAATTACTTCCGAATCCACAGTCAGGCGTCCATTACCAGGGACAACAGGATAAATCCTATGATTAAAAAGCAGCATATTGTGAGAAAATACATTTGAATCTAAGGTGCTGTCAAAGGTACCAAAGTACTACATTTTGAAATGAGTTCACTGCAAATTCATTGTTTCTCCAAAAGATATCTGCATGTTTAAATCCCTGTGAAGGACATTATTGATGATGTGAGTTGTTTGTTTAAATAAGTACAGAGCAAAGGTTATTTTTGTCGCAGTATAAAATGAGTGAGGTTTGGCCACTCCTGCATAATGTGGGAAACAAATGACCACTTTCACCCCTTTCAAGATAGAATAGCACTGTTTTCCCTGCACTTAGTGTTTGGGGGTGGACTAGGACGGATTTCCCTCACCTGAGAGTTTCTTTGATGACAGCCTTCATGTAGGGCATCCTTGTCAGGTGTTCTGCGGTCGGCAGCTCTTTATTCGGACACACAGATGCGATCTCATTATAGAGGCGGTTCTGTACTTCTGCATCTCTTGCGAGGTGGTACAAGGTCCATGATAATGTGTTGGACGTCTTTCAAGGACAAAGAAAATAGGCATTATCAAATAATGCATGACACCTGATTGGCAAAGTGAAATATGCCCAGAAGATGAGGGGGCGGGGCTCTCTCAAATCAGCAGCTATACGTTGCAGAAACAGGTTAAGACATCAGCAAGGAATGCTGCTTTAGCAGGTTATCGACCCTGTGTTGCTAAATGTGGGACATAATTTAGCCGAACGCGCTGGAAATCTGATAAACAGTGGCCTTGACGGACCCTGAGAGACATTTACACAGAGATTAGGAACATAGTACATAATATGTTAAAGGTTATTTATCAGTTAGGGATGGATAAGACCGTCGACAAGTTCTGTCCGTGAAACAATAGTGGGACACGTTTAAAGTTAATGTGGTGGATTACATCTGTGGTTATCCCCTGTGTGAACTCACCTTGACCACAATTGATTAAAAGTAACTATAAGGACGGGTCAGAAAGTGAAGATTGTCTTTGCGGATACCACTTGTTACAATACTATTTCTAATGCAATACAACTGCATTGAATTTTGATAAGTTGACTCCAGTGGCCAAAAGCGACCAAATAATGAATACATATGTACACAAGAAGGCAGATGCTTTTGCCTATCAGAATTTTAGTAGAAATTTTGGTCATGATAATTCTGTTTTTAAGAAGGTGCATCCAGTTAAAGTAGTTCAGCTTTTTTGAAAACCTGTGCACAAGATCATATCCTATGGTGTCAAACCCTACTCTAGAGGGACTCCTTCAGAATCTCTAGATTAGAACATGTGTATGTTGAGGCTAAACATAAGGTCAGAATTACCTCATGTAATTCTGACCTGAGTCTGATGGACCCTAGTCATACAGGACTTACTAGTTAGTCAGAAAAATCGCCAACTAGTACATTTTGAAAATATGCCATTTTATGCATCCCTAACCTTGTGAAAATTAAGTGTGCTTAACTGCATTGAAAATGCACTTGTAGTGTACTTCAAATCTTAAAAGTATACATTTAAAAAAAAAACGTACTTGCAGATTTTAACGGCGTAAAGAAATTAATCAAGGATGCAAATTGATCAAAAGTGACAGTAAAGATATTTATAAAATAAAAAATGTATATATTGGAATTTTGTATATGTGACCCTGGACCACAAAACCAGTCTTAAAGGGTTAGTTCACCCAAAAATGAAAATTAGCCCATAAATTACTCACCCTCAAGTCATCCTAGGTGTATATTACTTTCTTCTTTCAGACGAATCCAGTCGAAGTTATATTAAAAATTGTCTTTGATCTTTCAAGCTGTTTAATGCCACTCAGCAGGTGTTGCATGCATCAGTCCAAAAGCACTTAATTAAAATGCGCCCATCCATAAAAAAAAAAATGTCTCACACGGCTCCGGGGGGTGAACAAAGGCCTTCTGTAGCGAATCGATGCGTTTTTGTAAGAAAAATATCCATGTTCAAAACGTAATAATCACTTTAATGTAGCTTGCACTCACAGTTGTACACTGGAAGCAGCTCCGGGCGGATGACGTATGGAGGTTGGCTTTGCGCATGCGCCGCTCAGAAGTGACGCACTCGGAAGCGCAGGGGAGAGATCAAAACAAAACAACGGTCACTAATTAGAAGTACAAAACGAGGATTTGTAAAGAAGAATGTCGGAGGATTTCGATATAAGCCAAGAGGAGACTGGTTTGACTTTGCTAAAGTAAAGAAACTTTGCTTCCTTTGCTCCGGTTAATAAACGTTGGTTTTCACGAGACCCATACGTCTTGCTCCCAGAACTGCTTCCAGTTTACTACAGTGAGCACAAGCTAGATTAAAGTGATTATTACGTTTTGAATATGGATATTTTTCTTACAAAAACACATCGATTCACTACAGAAGGCCTTTGTTCACCCCCCGGAGCCGTGTGAGACACTTTTTTTTTTATGGATGGGCGCATTTTATTTAACTGCTTTTTGACTGATGCATGCAACACCCGCTGAGTGCCATGAAACAGCTTGAAAGATCAAAGACCATTTTTAATATAACTCCGACTGGATTCGTCTGAAAGAAGAAAGTCATACACACCTAGGATGACTTGAGGGCGAGTAATTTTCATTTTTGGGTGAACTAACCCTTTAAGTGTCAATTTTTCAAAATTGAGATTTATACATCATCTGAAAGCCGAATAAATAAGCTTTCCATTGATGTAAGGTTTTTAGGATAGGACAATATTTGGTCGTGATACAACTATTTGAATATCTGAAATCTGAGGGTGCAAAAAAATCTAAATATTGAGAAAATCACCTTTAAAGTTGTCCAAATGAAGCACTTAGCATTACCAATCAAAAACTAAGTTTTCATATATTTACGGTAGGAAATTTACTAAATATCTTCATGGAACATGATCTTTACTTAATATCCTAATGATTTTTGGCATAAAATTAAAATCTATAATTTTGACCCATACAATGTATTTTTGACTATTGCTACAAATACACCCCAGCGACTTAAGACTGGTTTTGTGGTCCAGGGTCACATATAACATACACAGATACATATATACACACACACACACACACACACACAGTATCTCACAGAAGTGAATACACCCCTCACATTTTAGTAAATATTTTATTATACCTTTTCATGTGACAACACTAAAGAAATGACACTTTGCTACAATGTAAAGTAGTGAGTGTACAGCTTGTATAACAGTGTAAATTTGCTGTCCACTGGGGAGCTGCAGTTCATTGAGGGAACCATGAATGCCAACATGTACTGTGACGTACTGAAGCAGAGCATGATCCCCTCTCTTTGGACACTGGGCCACAGGGCAGTATTCCAACATGATGACAACCCCAAACACACCTCCAAGACGACCACTGCCTTGCTAAAGAAGCTGAGGGTAAAGGTGATGGATTGGCTAAGCATGTCTCCAGACCTAAACCCTACTGAGCATCTCAAGGTCTCTAACATCCACCAGCTCCGTGATGTCATCATGGAGGAGTGGAAGAGGACTCCAGTGGCAACCTGTGAGCTCTGGTGAACTCCATGCCCAAGAGGGTTAAGGCAGTGCTGGAAAATAATGGTGGCCACACAAAATATTGACACTTTGGGCCCAATTTGGACATTTTCACTTAGGGGTGTACTCACTTTTGTGGCCAGCGGTTTAGATATTAATGGCTGTGTGTTGAGTTATTTTGAGGGGACAGAACATTTACACTGTTATACAAGCTGTACACTCACTACTTTACATTGTAGCAAAGTGTCATTTCTGCAGTGTTGCACACATGAAAAGATATAATAAAATATTTACAAAAATGCGAGGGGTGTACTCACTTCTGTGAGATACTGTATATAACCAATATGCTAATGATATATTGTGCGTCCCTAATGCAGACATTAAACTTCAGCATACCTACGTCATACAAGTCATCCCATGCCTGGACAAACCGTTTCCAGAACGGGAAGATGTGACGGGTCCAGCGTGGGAAAAAAAGAACCATCTCTGACAGCGCCAACATGTCATTGACGGCAGATATGAACCGCAGGGTGTCTGTGGGAATTTCCTCCTGTAAACAGCCTAATCGAGTTTCGAACAGGATCGAGGAGATTCCTGAACAGCAGGAAAGAAAAACCACAGTCAAAATAAAAATTCTAGACTTCACAAGAGTATAGTGCTGTTTGTTCAAACATTACTGCGACGAGCTCCAGGATATTGTTACCATTCTCTATCTGCACATACCCTCAAAGCCAAATTTGTAGAGCTCAGAGGCGAGGTCCTTGACGGTGACCTGGTCTGGACTGCGCAGACGCAGGAGTTCCACACGCTGTAGGAGATCAGACACAACCTCGTGAATTATGGGAGCATATGCTGCTACTTCCTTCAGTTTAAGCATCTTAGGGTTCAGAGCACTGCGGATGCGATACCACTCAGGGCCTGTGCTGAAAAACGCAGAAAAAAAGTCTAAATTGGTGATTTTATCAAATATTGGCATTAAAGAAATGCATTATCATCTAAAAGCTTGGGGTGGGTACGATTTTTTAAAAAGTATTTAAATGAAGTATCTTACTCTCACCAAGGCTGTATTTATTTGACCAACAATACAGTTAAAACAGGTATACTGTAAAATATTATTACAATTTAAAATAACTATTTTCTATTTTAATGTATTTAAAAATGTGCTTTTATGGCAAAGTTGAATTTTATCAGCCATTGGGTTTTTTGTGTTTAAGAAACATTTCTTATTGTTATCAATATTGAAAACAGTTGTGCTACTTCATTTTTTTTGTATTTTTTTTTGTGGAAGCCATGATACATTCTTACATATTATTAGTATTCTTTGCTCAGAGCATTTATTTGAAATTTAAAAAAAAAAACTTCTGTAACATTATTAAAGTCTTTACTGTCACTTTTGATCAATTTAAGAGTCCTTGCTGACTAAAAAGAATCTTTAATTTTTTTTCATCTGAACCAAATAAAAAAATCTTCAATTTTTATTGTAGGCATTTTATGGTAGTGTAGTCCACTCCAAAAATGAAACTTTTGTCATAATTTATTTGAAGAGTTCAGATGCAAAAGCCTCCAAGTGCCATCTGAAATTTGTTCTTCTAAAAAGAACCATCATTGCCATTAAAGTGAAATTACTGAACCTACACATAGGAGCCTGAGAAAAATGCTCATTTTAGAAGAAAATTTCAGATGGGACTTAGTGGCTTTTGCATCTGAACTTGTTATTTATTATAAATGTCATCCCAAACCCATATGACCTTCTTGCACTCATTGAACACCAAAGGTTGAAGTTTTGAAGGAAATTCTGGCCAAACATTTCAATAGTATATCAGTAAGAATATTAAGTAAAGGACTGGGGCTGTCAAATTCCAAAATGACAAACAATCAATCAAACCAAAATTCGGTTAATCTTGAGGTCCACCATTCATGGGAATCATGATAGAAATAGATTTGATTCATATCTTTTTAATGAATCACTTGATACAATTCACAATAGTGCTCTGGATGATTTGTATAGAATAGAATTGATCTGGTTATTGAGTTCAACCAAAGTCCCATTCAAGGAAAGTCTGTTCACTCGGCGGCCATATTTGCAACGCCTCCGGGTAGCTCAAACAAGACCAAGTCCTATTTAAATGAATGGGGGGGATCCTGAAATCTCAAAAAATGCTCGCTGAAGTCGCAATTAAATTACATATTTCAAATCGGCAAACAAAATATGAAATGAACGGCTCAATGAATTTTGTTTCTTATGCTAAAATAGCGTAAAAAAAGCTTATTTTTCAGGCTAGACCAGCCAATGCGCATGCGCAGTTATATTGCGCTTATGACTGTGCATGCTCACATGTACACATTTCATAGTACTGAATTTTTAGATTATAATTTGAAACGCATTGACTTGACTGATTTATATAGGTTCTTGCTCACAAAATTGCCGACAGGTCCAGATATTTAGCATGCCAAATATTTCATGGGCATCGGCGACGCATTGGCGATTCTCTCAGATCGCGTTTTTGATAATTCACACTGTGTGATTGTCACTCGCGTGAACAAGCACCAATTTGCCTCCGATTTCGCAAAACCTGTCGGCGAGTGACAATCGAGGCTAAAATCGTGCAGTGTGAACCGCTGCTGTGACGCAATGACTTTACCAATCAGCGATTGGCTCTTTCATTTAGAAGGCGGGACTATTTCGCCATATTGCGCGTTGCATTTTCTCCCATTCTACGTCCGAAAGCCTAGGCAGCTGACTTGCTGCCTTATGAGGCAATGACTTTGCAGGCAGCGTTTTTGCACGAAGGCACCTCATGAAACTTATTTCGGACAGGCTTCTGAGGCAGCGTAACGGTTTAATGATCTACAACAAAATAGAACGAGTTTTTGTGATAACTAAACGAATATTTAATTATTATAATACTGATTTATATTGCGCTTATGACTGTGCATGCTCACATGTACACATTTCATAGTACTGAATTTTTAGATTATAATTTGAAACGCATTGACTTGACTGATTTATATAGGTTCTTGCTCACAAAATTGCCGACAGGTCCAGATATTTAGCATGCCAAATATTTCATGGGCATCGGCGACGCATTGGCGATTCTCTCAGATCGCGTTTTTGATAATTCACACTGTGTGATTGTCACTCGCGTGAACAAGCACCAATTTGCCTCCGATTTCGCAAAACCTGTCGGCGAGTGACAATCGAGGCTAAAATCGTGCAGTGTGAACCGCTGCTGTGACGCAATGACTTTACCAATCAGCGATTGGCTCTTTCATTTAGAAGGCGGGACTATTTCGCCATATTGCGCGTTGCATTTTCTCCCATTCTACGTCCGAAAGCCTAGGCAGCTGACTTGCTGCCTTATGAGGCAATGACTTTGCAGGCAGCGTTTTTGCACGAAGGCACCTCATGAAACTTATTTCGGACAGGCTTCTGAGGCAGCGTAACGGTTTAATGATCTACAACAAAATAGAACGAGTTTTTGTGATAACTAAACGAATATTTAATTATTATAATACTGATTTCTCACTAGAAATAACATCAAAAGTGCAAAAAGTTAGTCAGAAATATACATTTACCCACAACCTGACCACCAAACGCAACTTTCAGATGCCATCTTTAATTTTTTATCCCAACCATCACGGTATGGAACGCACAGGATTGTGGGATATCAAAGGCAGCGAAGGATACATCTATGCTGCCTTCAAAATTCGATCAGAAGAAGGTACCTCCGAAGACAGGAAGTGAAGCAGAATTTGTATTTGGACATGCCTTGATGCCTTCATGCCTTGAAATGCTGCCTCTGAAGGCAGCATTTTAGAGCTTTCGGACGCCGTGAACCATCTTTGTATTTCTATAGTCTTTGGTTCAACTAAAGATTATCATGGAATAATCTTACATTTAGTACTGTTTGGCACACAGAGCTATTGTATTGCTTGGACGATGTGGTGTAAAAGAGTCATAAAGGCTGATTTTATCATACTTTTATGGTGCTTTTGCGTCCTCAAGATGATCCAGAGCTCCAGAAAAAATAAAGTCAAACAGGTTTGGCACAGCAGACTATGTGTGAAGGAGAGAGGTGCTTACTCTACATGAATTCCGTATGCCTGTCCTCTCATGTCTCTGTATTCTTTCCAGTGAGGCAGATCAGTCCGCACTGGGTAACGACCCTCCTGTCGGATCACCTGTGCAATCAGTTCAGCCGTCGCCACATTTACCACATCAAACGGCCCAAAGCGTGACCGCCAGATCGGACCATACAGGCGCTTATGCTCCACCTGCAATAGACGTGGGGGGAAAATCATTGTGTGTTTATTGCCAATTATTTATCGTACACAATAGGCCATTTAGCTACTTACGTACATTACAGATAATAAATGGACTCTCCTTCCTGGAGTAACCTAAGGTTAAATAGGAGTCGTGTCATTTTGTAAAATGTTTAAAGGGATCATATGATGCTGCTAAAAAGAACATTATTTTGTGTATTTGGTGTAATGAAATGTGTTTATGCAGTTTAAGGCTCAAAAAACACATTATTTTCCACATACTGTACATTATTGTTTCTCCTCTGCCCCGCCTTTCTGAAACACGTCGATTTTTACAAACTTCATTGTTCTAAAAAAAAGCAAGGTGTGCTGTGATCTGCCAGCTATCCAGTGCGTTGTGATTGGCCGAATACCTCAAGTGTGAGACGGAAATGTTACACCCCTTACCATATTGTGATGATGCCCTGTCAGGCCGGAGCGATGATTCAAAAACATGAAAACCCATTATAAACGAGGCATTCGTTTCATCTAGTGGGGACATAATTATGGATTATAATGACTTATACTGTCTTTTTACGCGTTGCATCGCGCTGCGCCGCATAAACATAAAACCATGTCTGCATTTGTGATCGGAGAAATGACAAACAACAAGCCCTACTCTACACTGCCCAAAAAACTCCTTTTAAATTTATAAAATATAAAAACTCTTTAAATATAAAAAACGTACTTACAATCTTTGAGTCAGAACAGCCGGCATTGTAGTCTACTCTCCCAGGATCAGTAAACAGTCCTCCATAAAATGCTCTGCACACATCTGAATATTTGGGTTGAAGTGTTCTGGAACAGTGTTGTAAATACAACTTAACCACTGATTTCTAGTCGTGTCCATTTTTGGAAGGCCAAACAAAGTAGTTTCGCTTTCACAACGAAACACAGCGTCACACACGGCTGTCTAGAGTGAGCAGAGGCGGCGGATTCGACGAAGGAGGCTTGCGGCAACCACATGTGACGACCCCGGGCTGGACTCCGCTTCGTCCACGGTGAAAGTCGATCCAGCGATCCACAGCGCAAAGTTGATGTATTTCCTCAGCAACCAGCACGGATCAGCTCCAGGCATGACGAAGCAGATATAGTCCTCTTTTGGAAGACCAAACAAAGTAGTTTCGCTTTCACACCGAATCACACAGTGGCCTTCACGACTTGGTGGCGGCAGCAACAATACTACAGTGAGAATAAAAGTTACGCCTTCCTTCTTTGCGTAAACATTTGGGCAGCGTTATGCAAATCTTCCCACATAGCGATGTAGATATGTGGGGGCGTGTTAGAACGAGACGTTTTAGGTAGGCGTGGCTGACTCTTAACTTTTATAAAGAATATTTCTTTGGATTTGAGACTTTAGTCTTTGCAACTTTACAGATCTTCTTTATGCACCAAGAGCTTGTAACACTCCAAAGAGAAAGGAAAAATTGAAATCGCCTCATATGACCCCTTTAAATACCATCTCCCATTTTTGTTTAATGCAGTGATTCTAAACTAGGGGGCCAGGGCCCTCCAGAGGGCCTCAGCAAACTCCCAAGGAGACCTCAAGATGACGTAAAGAATAGTTCACCCAATAAAATGAAAATCTACTCATCCCTAAGGCCATCCAAGATGTAGACGAGTTTGTTTCTTCAATGAAAGCAATATTATGGATAGAGGACTTGTATTTTAGCTGGATGTTAAAAATGTCTTGATAGATTTATTTATTACAAACGAAAAAAATTTAGAAGACACAAAAAGATCATAAAGCTGTTGTAAAATGAATCCATATGGATTAAGCAGGGGTGTATTCCAGAAAGCAAGGTTAACTTACCATCTGCTAAATCCTGAACTCTCGGTTGATTAACCCAAACCTTGCTTACTCGAGGTATGTTGGTTCCATAAACGTGTCCAGGAGTAAGTTCATTCAACACAGAGAATGTTCCTGGTTAACACGCAACACATTCTCAACTATACATACATATATATTAATAATACATAATTAAATCTGTTCAGCATTTTGCCTAAAACAATTGGTCAATTAATATTTAACAACATCTAATATCTATTACAGCCTCAATAGATACTAGTAACTATTGGAATAGATATGATTAACTAAGCTAATAAATTCTAATAGCTAATAATTATGTACTAGTGTTGTGGCAATTTTCCATTTCAATGAAGGTAAGACAAGTCTTTTGAAGATTCATTGCAAGAAAAGGTCTACACTCTACAGTCATAACAGTCATTCAAGTTGGCTGCAGAGCGCAACAAAAGGAGGAACACTTTGACTCAGTATTTATACTCCAATCAAACCAGGATGCTTCAATCTCATTCAATCATACTGCATTTTCAACATATGCATCCATTTAAGGCATCTATGTCCCCTAGAGGTGTTTTAATGCAAATCATCTTCTTAGAAGCTAGGATGTAGGGTCTCTAAAATAACATTCCTTTTTCCAGGTGTTTCACACTTGTCTGCACACACTAGGGATGGGAAGATTCCCCGATTCGCTCGGTGCATCGGCATAAAAAGTTAACGATGCGATGCATCAGTTTAAAAAGTGTGTATCGGCTACAAGTCGCATTTGTATCGTGATGCATCGTTTCTAACATATTTGCAACGGTAAAAAAAGATTTATCTATATATAATTACTAGTGGATGCGCTATACTTTTATTATTTAGAAAGTGACCAATAATCTGTGATCTATGTAGGAGACCCGAGAAAAAAACTGGGATTAAAGTCCAAAACCTGACTTGAAATAACCTAACAAATCAATCGGGGCTAAAGCGTTTCCATAAACAACGAATTAAGCTCACACAATCTCACTAATTTGTGCACGCTTATTCTTAAGCAGCCCTTAATGTCGATTATGGATCAAATCGATCCACCATGGCAAACAGCGAATATATTCGTGCTGTTTAATGCATTTGAGACGTTGTGTTTTCCTCAGTGCATAACTGACATGCCAAAGGTATATTTTTCATCTGTAAATGTTAGAAAGTCATGCAAATATATCCATTTCGCTGTCAGGAGTGGGCGAGGCTTACGCGAGTGAACGAGTGCTGCTGCACGCAAGCACGCTAAACAGACGGCGTGCAATCGAATAGGAGCGCAATAATTCTGAGTAAAATATACATTTTGCTAAAATATTTGTTGTTGGACATTAAATGTGCCTTTTGTAGAATTTTAAACCTTCAATTTCTTTATTATTTATTTTGATTTTAATTCAGTGATTTTAATGCTTTAAAGAGCAATTTTAGACTGTAATGTTCTAATGTTCTGCTATGGTACAGCTGTCATTAAACCAGAGAGAGCCTTTCTGCTTGGCTAGCACTGTAAAATAAAAAAATTTTAAAAGTCAAATAATAGCGTTCCTATTGGTCAGTGTTAGAGGAACTCCGCTTAATCTGAGAGTTAACCTGCTTTAGTTTCCCAGCATAAGTTGCCACAGTGACTGAAGTTGACCTATGTTAAATTTGCTTTATGGAACCAAATCATTTGCCAATGAGTCAGACTAAATAAAATAAGCCTGGCTTATTTGGTAAACTTGTTTTATGAAACAGGCCTTGCGGCATTAAAAGTGATCATATTTTTTCCATTGCATCGAATCGCATTATGTTGCATCGAATCGAAATCGGATCGCAATGCATCGTAACAAGGGTGAATTGTATCGTATCGGTAGCTGCTTCATATGTATCTTTAATGTATCGTATCGTTGGCTATGCATCGAGATGCGTATCGTATCGGCCTCAGTCATGAGATGCACATCCCTAGCACACACACGCATACATTTCCTGTTGGTCTTTTAGCACATCAAAATCCCTCCATCATACTGATGAAGCATTCAGAAAGTTTAAAGAACGCTGTTTAGTAAAGCAAATAATAATCAAATTTCCCGCAAAACTAGAAACATTTACGGAAAGCCTGAAATGACAGAAGACCATAAAAATGATAAGTACTAGAAGGACTGTTGAAATAATTAAAAATAATAATACCAAATAGCTACTAGTGAAACTGGAAAAGATACTAGTCACATTTGAATTACTAACATACATTTAGATATTAGATTTAAGGAATACATACTAAAAGGGCTTTCCATACTGATTTCACATTCCAGAGATATCAGCTGCCAGCATCAGGCAGGATTTCCCGAGTCTAAGAAGCCTATTTTAATGCTTGTTAAACATCATAAAAATGTTCCTTAACAAATCAGTTCCTGCACGAGTAGTTAGCAATGTCTCAACACTTTGCTTTACATAGTTTCATATACAGGCTATTTATAAATATGGACATTCATTTGATGTATTGATGACTGTGTACATCTTAAAACACTCCCAAAGAAACGTTATTCCTGTTACGCAGTAGTTTGAGTGTACAAACTTGCAAATTCATAAAGCAAAAAAAAAAGTGTCTTACCTGCATTGCATGACTTTTATCCGCGTATCCTTTAACGAAGAGCCAGTACGCAGTTGTTGCCAGGCTGGGTCCCGGTAGATCATCTATGGTTTTGTAGTTTCCAGAGATCGATGTTGCGCTGTGCAAATCTACATCGCCTGGTTGAGACTTCAGGGTTCGCGCTATGAATTCATAAAATGGCGCATATTTTTTGCCAACATGAGATGCGAGACGATCAGCTTTTACAAGAGAAGACAACATGATGACTGGCGTCTGTCGAACTGGACATCTGAAACTAGACGACAGCATACTAAGATGTTTTGTGTCAAACCCTGGGCGGGATTCATAGTGTCTCAAAGCCTAGTGAACTGCCTACATAGACAACATTGCCACGTTTCAAACCAAAACGCCTATGATGCTCAACAAAGCCATCTAGATGAACGGTTCACTGGGTCTGTGGTTTTGAGACACAGCCCGGAACGGTGCGCACACACCCAGAGTTTGACACAATGTAACTGTCACACGTGGAAAAACACAAGGCGTTACTGTTAAGTCACCTGTATAAAAGGTATACTAGGGTCTTTTTTTTTTTTTTACAGCTAAAACAAAGCACTACCTTTCTGAAGTTTGGGGTCAGTACGGTTTTTTGTTTTTTTTAAGAAAAAAAATAATTAATACTTTTATTCAGCAAAGATGCATTAAATTGATCAAAAGTGACAGTAAAGACATTCATACATTTGTATTTCAAACAAATCCAGAGGCGGACAAAGTACTCAACTCTATTACTTGAGTGAAAGTACAGATACTGCTGGTCAAATATTACTCCATTACAAGTAGAAGTTGTAAAGACAGATTTTTACTTAAGTAAAAGTACAGAAGTACTTGCTTTTAAAAGTACTTAAGTACCAAAACCTTTTTTATGTCAATGCACTGTTTTATTGTTGTAAGTAATACTTGCAATACTTCTGATGCAACTTTGAATACATTACACCTACTAGCTTGTAGTATCGTTGGAATAAAGAGCTTTTAGAATGTTAAAAACCTATGGGGGAAAAAATTAACACCCCTACCCACGCTCATAAAAGCAGGATGGTAGTGATCTCACACAGCTCTGACAGTGTGTGCGTGTAGCCATTCATCCACATTTGAACAGAGTCGACAGTGAAATCCTGTAAATACAGAGTGATAAGAAAGAAAGAAAAATCAAACCTGCTTTAAAACCCAGCAACACAACTGTAGCTGTATAGCTTTACAACAGCAACACTGCTTTAACATTCGAGGACCTTGATAGAAATGTAGTGGAGTGAAAAGTACAATATTTGTCTTTCAAATGTAGTGAAGTTAAAGTCATAAGTTCCCAGAAAAAAATAATACTCAAGTAAAGTACAGATACTCAAAAAGTGTACTTAAGTACAATACTCAAGTAAATGTACTTAGTTACTGTCCACCTCTGAGTCAAATGCTATTCCTTTGAACTTTCAATTCATCAAAGAATCCTGAAAAACTTGTATCAGAGCTTCCCTCCCACAAAAATATTAAGCAGCACAACTGTTTTCAACATTCAAAACAAACAAACAAAAGTTTCATCAGCAAATCAGCTTTAGAATGATTTCTGGAGGATCATATGACACTGAAGACTGGAGTAATAGTAATACTAGAGAAAATTGTTATTTTAAATTATAATTATATTTTACAATTGATCAAATAAGTGCCACCTGGGCGGGTATCAGGGACATCTTTCATAAACATAAAAAAAATTATAACTTACAGACCACAAACTTTTGCATGCTATATGGCTACAAGGTAAAAATACATATTTTTTAGAATTAAAAATAAGGAGATAAGCAATTTGAAAGATAACTGCACAGCTATAGCACTCGCAGAGCAATTTCTAGCTGTAAAAATATTAAAACATAAAAGTACATGACTCTAAGATGTACTATATGTCAAGCAATCAATATAGCACCATGAAATGTGAAATAAATATCTTTTATTTATTTTCATCATCATTAGCAACACTTTACAAAGTGCCAGCCGTCATAGACAATCTCAAGATGTCATCCTGCAAGTAGGCCGATCAGTCCTGCCATCAGCAGACCACAGAGGTGGGCCTTCATGATGCCAATCATGCTTCGAATTTTGAGTAAAAAAAAAACAGAAAATAAAAATATATATATAAAAAAAATATGCGTACCACTGATATACAGATTTGATATAAACAGGCTTATTGGTCACAAACCAAATTGAATTATAAACATGGCTTTTCTCATACAATAGACAAAGAGGACAAACAACAGATAGAAGTTCTGTACCAGATAAGAGTACTGTCTAAAAAAAAAAATTACATTTCATTTCAGAGTTCTAAACTTCTTTTGTTTTTGTCTTTTTTTAAATTTTTTTATTACTTTTCTGTCATCAGTTGTACAAGGCGCAAGGCATTGAGTGCGCTGGCAATAATCTCACTCAACCGGCACACAGAAAAGAAGTCTCTTTGAAACACACACAGTCAAAACACACTCAGACGATATATAACACTCACACGAACAAATACAAAGTGCATTCATGACCCTGGAGTGGCAGAAGTGGCGTGTTTCGCTGACGAATCTAGCCTGTTTGAGTTCATGGAAAACTTCCTGTAATTACTTTCATAAATAAACAATGCAGTCTGCAGCGATGGAACTCTATTGTTAAACTGGAGAGATATTTCGAAGAAGAAAAATCCAACAATTTATATACAGGCAAATCGTTGAATGATGCCACCTAGTGGTGAAAAAATTCTGACATTACATTCCAGTAGGAAGATTCTCAATTTGCTTTACAACAAACTCCGGCCAGGATACCAGTCATGTTGGTCCAAGTCAGTTTCTTTGGCACCAGTCAGCATTTAGACATTCGGCTCTCATTTTCTAACTCTGAATTTACAAAAAAACAGACATCATTTGTCTGTTAATTTCGCAAGTGTGTTCATTTGAGGAACGAGTTGCGACATAACAGTGGCAATGAATTGACCACAGACGAGAGCAGACTGTACATCAGTGAGTGACCATGTGACCAACCTAACCAACAAGCCTGGTAACCAGGGTAACCGTTTTATCTCATATCCGCTTGAACAGAAAACAAGCATTCAGATCGCACGTCGCTTACAAACACACAGAATGACGTGACGAACACTGGCAAAAGTATTAAAATCAGTGTAAAAATCATGGTCTCAAAATGTGCAAACATTTCAGCATCAAAAAGACAATTTTAACAGTACATACATTACAAACATACACTGCCTACTTTTCGTGTAGTATGTCTGTACACCATCCTAACGAGTAATGCTTAAATGAAAATAAATGTGGCTTTAGTTCTACGAACTGGCACTTTAAAACTCTACAGACCAGGAATTTTGCTCATTATACTGGGTGCGGAGAAATTCCTTCAAATACTGCCACAGCAACCCAGGGTTGCCATGGCGGGCCCAAATCACATGCCATTATGCAAGAAAAGAGTTTAAAAAAACAGCTGCAAGGGGTAAGAGCAAACAAAGTGGGCCTGCCCATGTTTAAATGACTGAAGGGGGCCTCGGATAGAGAACTGCTAATACAGTAGGTCTATTGTGTGAGCGGGTCTTCCATGTCCAACACTCCCAGATATCATGACCCAGAACAGCCGCATGAAATCATTCCGAAGTAACTCTACACAATGGAGGTAGACTTTCTTAGTCACCAACAGAAAACTGTAAACGTTTGCTTGGAGTGTAATCATACCATCTGAAAAACGAGTGCCACATGCAGTCTCATTGCTATAGTTACTCTTACTGACAGCAAAAGGCTAGTTTCTCTCATTTTATCACAATCTATCGGCCCGGGGTAGTTTACGCTGCTACAGTTACAGCGTTCACACAGAACGAGTTCTTGCACTGACACAGCTAGACTGATCACATTTGAAAAGAATGATTATAGATGTGTTCATTGTTTTAAAAGGCGGACACATGGGTCAATGATATATAGAAGCATTCATGATTCTTAAAAAAAAAGTATGTTTTGTTCTCATGTTGGTTTCATATGAGTTGGTGTTTAATAACTTTACTTGAATACAATTGAGTGTACATTTGAATCATTATTTAAAAAAAATAAATACATTTTTCAAGTAAAAAAGATTATATTTTTATTAATTAAATTAAATATAATACGTTTTTTGGGGTACTAACACCACATGATATTTTACAACCTAAACTAACCAGTCATAAAAATAGGTACTGTCACACATTTTCTAATATTTTAAGAAATGGGTTTGCAGGGGCCCTGTATACGAGTATAATTTCCTGATTTAAGTTTTTTTTCTTGCGACTATCAGCTTGATAGTTTTAGCCAGAATTAGATTTAGCAAACAACAGTTCAAAAGTTAAAAATAAGTATTGGTAAAGTTTTCATATAAAATAATAAAAGACTAATATTACATAATTAAAAATAATTGTTTTTATATTCATCTTCAGTCAAATTGCTTAATGTTTTCTTTCTTTCTTTTTTTTTTAAATGCTTTTATTGAAGCTTTTTTTCTTCATTATGATATCAGGACAGTTATTACCCTGACAAATTTGATATTATGCTCCAAATGCTCCTTTTTAAAAAAAACTAAATATTATGATTATGGCATACTGTCATTGACCCACATGTGTAAAACAAATTAACAATTCACAGAGAGAGAACGCAAGAACGTGTCCTGAGTGAACGGACCACAAGTATGAAGCTTATTCTTATTCTCAGGTCACTATAAGTAAGCAATGGGAAATCGCTGCTTAAATTTTAATTGTGTTTCCATTCTATGATTATTACATTAACATAAGCATATGCTAACTCACAAATACCATACTCTCATAATTATGAGAGGGGAAGAATAAATAGCCTTCTAATTAAGAACGGCAGATTGTGACACAAGGAATGAAGAAAACAAACCTAATGGATTAAGGAGGGATCGAGGGTAACCCCAAAAGGTACGTTATCACCTACGTCTGAAGGCAGGCACTATAGCACTATGTGGAGGAGAGATCTCTGAATGAGTCTTGAACAGCAATGTGACCACTCACTAAAATATTTAGAAGCGTTCACTAGCAGAAAGTGTGTAACCAAGTGCTTGACAGAGTGTGAACGGGTGAAACGTCCTGTCCCAAGGCATCGTGGGATAGCGAGGTTAATTTATAGGCAAACCGTTAGTACTGTCAAGTGCTGAGTATTGTTAGGATTTGTGAAATTCTGCATATTCTAATAGAAATACATTGGAATTGGAACATCAGACGTCTGGTATGGAAAATATCAGCAGAACGGATCCAGGTTGTGTAGTCTTCACTAGAAGTGCACTTACAGGGTCAACTTTCATATTGAGTGCAATCCGTTTCTCTATTCAACTCTAAAGGTCTTTGCACACTTCTCATCCGAAATTTTCGCCTGTTAAAAAATAACTACGACCTCACGTTGTGTGAATCACGTTTCCATACTGCCTCCGAAACATTCGTCCGTCATAAAAAAAAATTTGGATCAGGTTCGATTTTCTGCGTTTTTGCATCCGTAGCAAGCATTTTGATAGGAAAGGATGACGAATACGAAAAAACACATATGAAAATTTCAGACTCCGTGTGCAAGGACCTTAACTCTCTATGCTCTTGAGATTTATAATGGAATCGGAGCAATTCTTACTGTAACTGTCCAGGCACTAAACCCTGCCTGTGTGGTCTGGTTTTTTTTTTCTTTTTTTTTCTTCTTCGCTTTGGTGAGTGAGTGTGTTCAGCCTGCCTACCTGTTCAGATTGAAGTGTATGGCACTGTGTTAAGAGAATGCACAGGTGAACCTGACCCGAGATCAGTTTGCCAGCAGAGGGACCAAAGGGGGAAAGGCAGAGGCTGTTTATAGAAACTGTTCTACTGTTCATACTGTTCTAGAAACAGTATGAAGAGCCGAACTGTCCTAAATAATTCCTGTAAAAGAAAAGTCAGAAAGACTTGTGAGTAGCTGTGCATTAAACCTATAAAATTCTAGAAAAATAACCGGACACTTAAGACAGAGCAGAATACAAAAAAAAGAGGAAGGTGATGTCAAAAAGGCACACAGTAAAAACAGAAACAAAACAGAAACCGGTACAAGATCCTGACGAATTCTAGAGCTGGAAAAAGCAAATACACTCCGGTATGTGGTTGCAATCAGAAGATGAGAGAGTTCAGCAAACACAAATGTTTGTACAGCATAGAGAGTAAATATTCTACAGTAAGATCTTCCATCAGAGTTCATGTACGTGTGTGTGTGTATGTTCTAGGAGGACTGTGCAAGAAAATGAGAACTTTTAGAAGCCATGACTACCAGGCTGGAGAGTCCCGTGCATCCTGTCATCTATTCTGTTCTGTTTCATTTTTTTCCTTTTACCCTTTAGCAGCGTATTGGTGTACCTGCCTTGTTCTGGGGTTGACATTCCAAGATCTTCCTGCATTAACCCAGTGCATCCAGAACCCACCCGGACTCCCCAGAGCAAAGGCTCTCCACAATCATCGGGGATATCAAAACATTAAAAATTAATAAAAGAAAGCCTTAAAAGACAACATTCTCAAGTTTTTTTGGGGTACCAATATCCGTTTAGTCTTTAGGGGTACTTACCCCTGAGTGAAATTAAGGTGCAATGTTTTCATATGGAATCAAGCTGCTCCAAATCCCCCTCCTGCTCCAGCAGAGGTGTGAGATTAGGCCACTGCCCTCTTCACTATGCGCTCTGATCCGAGTAGGGGCTCGTAGGCCTGCTGGGATGAGTCTGAAAAATGGATGGTCCTACAGACACTTTTGGAAGTCTCTGATTGGTCAGAGATGGAAGGGGGAGTGTCTAATGGACGAAAGTGTGCCGTAATAGGTCCTCAGCAGCTGGACGCTGTTTAGTCTCCACAAAAATCCGTTTAAGGAAATCCCGGCAGTGGTCCGACACGTGAGGCGGCAGAGTGGGGTTGGTGGGCTGTGTGGCAATTTTAAAAATGGCTGCCATTGCTTCGTACTCCGCCCAGGGTGGCCGCTGAGTCAACATCTCCACCACGGTGCAGCCGATGCTCCTGAAATCAGGAAGGAATTATTATCATAGTTGAAGTGAAACACAAAAACATATACACAATCGTTTCTCATAGTGTTCTTACAACATGCTAAAAACCGGACAGAGTCTTTAACACTGACCCAGGGCCATCAGAGGTCCTTATTGAAGAGCCCCGCAAGTATCACAATTTCAGCATAAAAGGTTTAGTCACAATGAAACGGAAGTAGCCTTTTTCCTTCCATGTTGTGATGGACATTCAAGTTAAAATGAATATTGAAACAGTAAAAAAATGTACAGCAGGAACCTGGTCCTACCCATAGGTTGTTGAATGAATGGAGACAGATGTGAACATAAACATGCAGTCAATTGTAAGAAAGGGATGGGTTTAAGTAGATTAAGTAGTCACCCAAGAGAAGTCTGTCATTTTGCCATCAAGTTATGACATTTTAATTAAAAATTAGCAGGTAAAAACTAATTTTTATAAATGAAATATGAATGGACGAGTCGTTCGCAATCACATGCATTTACAAAAAAGATGGAAGTGAATTTTCATTTCATGCAGACTTTAAGGGCTTACCAGATATCAGCTTTCCTGCCATACCCCTCTCCGCTGATGACCTCAGGGCTCATCCAGTAAGGTGTACCTGTCACTGACTTAATGCCTGTTCCTGACAGGCAGATGGTCTGGAGCCGCCGACTCGCTCCAAAGTCACCCAGCTTCACATTACCTGCGGAGTCCCGTAGGATATTGGCACCTATATGAATGAAAGAACAGGGGAAAAAAGTTCATAATGGAGGGAAGGAATATTTGAGATTGCAAATTAAACAAGAATGTGAAAAGTAACGGTTCTCTTGTTAAAAAGCAGAAAACATAACAACAATAGTACTGACTCGGTTTCATTCACGGGTAGAAAAATGCTCTGCCAATGTGAATATTTTGCTAAGGTACATTCAGAAGCATTAGAAGATTGAGGCATTTAAATGACAGTTACAAAAGAAGTTTGAGTGCTATATGTGTATACATAAATATAAAAAAAACATTCAGTTCATCATAACTGACAACATCACATGCAGTTGTTTCACCTTTGATATCTCTATGGACGATCATATTACTATGCAGGTAGCACACGCCTTCTAGTATCTGCCGTGTATATTTACGAGTGACGTTCTCCGTCAGAGCACCATAAGACTTCAGCTGGTCTTTAATGGAGCCCTATAGAACATAAAATCTAAATTGATCAAAAAGAAAGACACAGTATCTACACAGCCCTGACTAGAAGTAGTTTCACAAAAAAAATATTCAGTAAATGAACAGTAAGTGAATCCATTACTGAATGAATGTGAGCTGTAACTGAACTGCAAGTTACCCTTTTAGTAATGTTTGATTTGAAAAGAACTAAGAACTGTTAGTGTGTTATGCATATTTACTGTTTGTGAGATAACATCAATGTAATTACATACAGCAATGTACTTAAATTAACACATTCAGATATTTTTGTAGTACATTTGTAATTACAGAGCTCCAGATTCATTCTTTCCACTGGTTGCTCTTTTGTGACTAACTTTCTCAGTTGGTAGCACGAGCACATGATTTGGTTGCAATAATGTTTTTTTTATTGTTGCACTACAACATGGGATTAATCAATGCATGCTGATGAACTTTTATCATAGTTTATAGTTATATGGAAACGAAAGTGTTTAACATTCAACCGTTCTTTTTCTTCAGTAGAATTATTTGTGATTTGAATTTTGTGAACGGGAGTTCCTCTTTTGCTGTGTTATAAGCCGGGCTTCGGATGCTTTCACTTTCGAATTCGCAATCTTGTCACGTTTTACAAGAAAAGATAATTGTCTGTTTTGCTTACATACATCTACAGACCTTTCACTTTTTAAGCCTAAAACAAAAGATGGATTCATTGTTATACTTAATTAAAAAGCACAACAACAATAAAACAGTAAGTTACAATGGCAACTAGCTTACAAAACGTTTATTAACAAAAATGAATAAGATGAGGCATGGCATACATCTTGTCACGTTTTACAAGAAAAGATAATTGTCTGTTTTGCTTATATACATCTACAGACCTTTCACTTTTTAAGCCTAAAACAAAAGATGGATTCATTGTTATACTTAATTAAAAAGCACAACAACAATAAAACAGTAAGTTACAATGGCAACTAGCTTACAAAACGTTTATTAACAAAAATGAATAAGATGAGGCATGGCATACACCACATGTTGTATTATATAACGACTAATAAATTACAGAACGTTTAGCAAACACTGAGGAATCAAATAAATAAATAAATAAATAAAAGAACCTCCATAGCGTAACGTGAGGTAAACAGCAAAGACAACAGGATTTTCTAAATGAAAACAAAAAGAAAAGTAAAACTAAATTGGCTGTCGGTGACAGTGCTTGCATGTTTTTTTCCCCCACAAGAATACCAACATGTTCACCTTCTCTGGTTTAAGTAGCAGTCTTTTACTTTACTTTAGCTTGAAAACCATCCATCGTTTCAACAAGATTCATGTAATTTTTGCTGCGTGCACCTTCGCGCTCCTGCTGACGCTGCAAGTATAAAGCAGGCTCTACACTCTAAGCGCTGTGCAGTTCAAACGAGTAGCGCGGTTTCGTTAAGCTTTCAGTTTCGTTTGCCATTTGATGTTTCTCATATGCAACAGAAATGGCAGCGCTTATAAGTTGAACAACGTGGTGGTCACGCCAGGGCGACCACACAAAATTTAGTCGCACAGGCAGAAAAATGGTCGCAGTCTGGAGCCCTGAATTACATTTTAATACTAAAAAAATTTGTTCAGGACACAGGCTTTTTTTAGTGCTGCAAAAACTTTAGAAAACACAGTAAGCAGCATACAAGAATATGTGTGTTTAAGTTAATTAAAACATACTTACCCCAGGCATGTACTCCATAAAAATGGAAAGAGTTCTTTCATGTGTGTCCCGCAAGCAGCCATAGTACTGAACAATGCGCTCATGGAATAGATTTTTCAGCAGCTGAATTTCACACTCCAGAGCGCTCACCTCCTGAACACACAAACAAACCATAATAAGTGCAAAGGTTCAACTAGACACCATACTAGCTGTACAAAGCCTTTAAAAAAACGATGTTCACCTTGCTGGTTTCTGGGCTATCCGGGTCAAACTGCACCTGTTTAACAGCCAGTTCTCTGCCAGTGTCAGCATCGTAGCATAAAAACACTCGCCCGAATGCTCCTTGCCCCAAAAGCTTCCCTAGACGCCAGTTTGTGGGAGCCCGAGGGGCTATGAACAAAAGAAAGAGGCAATTACACACAGAACAACACACACTATACAGAGTTTCCCCTCAGCTTTTTGACCAATTTATTTAAATTAATTTTGTAGTCCAACATGTTTTACTGGATTTACAATTTATTAAAGACTCTAAAAATCGTTTAATAGATAATGTACTCACGAAGAGCAATTTCAAAAAGGTTAAGACATTTTGTAGGATAGGACTATGACTGAATGAAGAAAACTAGGCTAAGATATGACTTTACTGTTACTTTTATTCATGTATCCTTTCTGAATAAATGTATTTTAAAAGGGTGTATATAAAATACCTTTAAAATATTGGGTTATTGGAAAGCAACATATATTTGCAGCTGATCAAATTACAAATGCACACCTCAAACTCAAGGATAATTGGTAGCGTCACATCTGACAAATCAGAACTATAATAAGCTCCATCTGCATGTCAACACCAAGTTAACATTAGATTAGTCACAATGTCAACATTGTTAATACAAAGGAAACTGGTACAAACAGAAGATGTTCTCCTCCAAACCCTAAATGCACTCACAGCGGCTTGGAGGGCTGATGTCCATGACTGAGAGAGTGGGGTTAGAACTGGGCTCTATGTCGCTGCCGCGGCGTCTGCGCCCTGGTTCCTCTAGCTCAGGAGTGAAGATGCTGCTTCCACTGCTAGTGCTGGGGCTCTGCTGCTCTGTTGGACTGAAACTCACTGGAGAACGAAAACCATGAGCCTGAGTCCGCCGTGCCCTGGGAAAGGTCTTTCGCCCTGAGCGGAGAAAGATGATCCAATTTAGGAACAGCGCATGCAAGCTTGGTTTTGCTTTTTAGAAAAATTACCAAAGCTTCTGTTTATGGCCAAGGTCCAACATAACCTCACCATCGCTGTAGTCGTGCAGACCAAAAGAGATGGGATATCGCCTAGGATAGGTTCCTCCCTTCCCTGTTTTTTCAAACACTGGTATATCGTACTCTATGAAACAGAGCAGAAACCATCAAGATTGCATTTCTAAGTCTATCTAACGTTAGTATTCATGTGACATCAAAGCAGAAAGATCAGCAACAGCTTACCAGGGAACTCTTGATGGTTATCAGGGTAGCTCAGGGCTCGAGGCATACGGGATTTAGGATAGGTATCACTGTAAGAGATCCATCCAAAAAAAATAAAAATCACTGAGTATTTTAAATTTAACAACATGCAGGAACTGTACATTACAGTTCAAAAAGTCTCTCATGCTCACCAAGGCAGCATTTATTTGATGAAAAAAAGCAAAAACAGTATTATCACTATTTTAAAGGGGTCATATGATGCAATTTCAAGTTTTCCTTTCTCTTTGGAGTGTTACAAGCTGTTCGTGCATAGATGAGATCCCTAAAGTTGCAAAGACTAAAGTCTCAAACCCAAAGAGATATTCTTTATAAAAGTTAAGACTCGTCCACGCCCTCCTAAAACGCCTTGTTTAAACACGCCCCCACATGTTTAGGTCACTGTGTGGGAAGATTTGCAGAACACCGCCCAAATGTTCCCACAAAGAAAGGCGTCGTAACTTTGATTTATCGCCGCCATGTCGTGGAGACGCCATGTGTTTCGTTGAGAAAGCAAAACTACTTTGTTTGGTCTTCCAAAAGAGGACACAACTAGAAATCAGTGGTTAAGTTGCATTTACAGCACTGTTCCAGAACAGTTCAACCAAATATTCAGATGTGTGCAGCGCATTTTTACGGAGGACTGTTTCTTGAACCTGCAGAGTAGCCTACAATGCCGGCTGTGGAGTAACACCAGACTGCACTCTGGAGTACTTGCGGCTGTGCACAAAGTTGTTTCTATAAAGTGGGGCAGTTCCAACTTTGCAAGGACAGTCTGGTGCTTCTGACTCACAGCCTGTAAGTAACGTTACGTTTTCATATTTAAAGAATTTGCCACTGATGATTCAAATGCGAGTTTTGAGCAGTGTAGAGTAGCGCTTGTTGTTTGTCATTTCTCCGATCACAAATTCAGACATGGTTTTATGTTTACGTGGCGCAATACGCAGCGCAATGCGTAAAAAGACAGTATAAGTCATTATAATCAGTAATTATGTCCCCACTGGATGCAACAAATGCCTCATTTGTAATGGGTTTTATTGGTTCTGTCTCGTCGCGCCGGGACATGGCATCACAGTATGGTAAGGGGCGTAACATTTTCGTCACACGCTTTAGGTATTCGGCCAATCCCAACGCACTGGATAGCTGGCCAATCAGCGTACACCTCGCTTTTCAGAACGATGAGCTTTGTAAAAATCAACGCATTTCAGAATCGCGGGGCATAGAGGAGAAACAATAACGTACAGTACGTGGAAAAGAATGTGTTTTTTTAATACCGCATAAATGCATTGCATTACACCAAATACACAAAATAATGTTCTTTTTAGCAACGTCATAAGACCCCTTTAAATAATGCTTTTTCTATTTTAATATATCTTCAAATGTAATTTATTTCTGTGACACAAAGTTGAATTTTCAGCAGCCATTACTTCAGCGCCACATGATCCTCAGAAATCATTCTAATATGCTGATTTGTAGCTCAAGGATCATTTCTTATTATTATTACTGTTAAAAACAGTTGTGCTGCTTAATACAAGAGATGCACCGATCGAACAGGTAGGGACCGGAATCAGACGATTTTCCGCATGATTGGCCTGGACCAGTGAGTCTGCGGTCAGGCTGCCGATTTGAGCTGGTCCATTTTGACGTCACACTTACTCTTACATCTGCATGTAAACATGTCACTTCACTGCGAGTCAAGAAGACACAAAGTTCGCAATTTGTAATACGTGTAGGGCCAAAGTAAACTGTGGTGGAACCACAGGGCTCGATTAACGCTGGTCCAAGTAGATTTTTTAAAGGGGCAAGTTAAAGAGAATTTTACTTGCTCAACCAGACAAGAAGCCTGATTAAAACCTCAATAACAAAAATAACTAGTGAAGCACAAACTTGGCGACCAAAAATTTTCACACGATTCTGAATTTATGCATTCAGTGTAAACAGCGACTGATAATGTAAAGCCAGATGAGGCTTGCGCATCCTGTCTGAGTGAGAGTGAGAGAGAGAGATTTGTGCAGAAATCAAAACAAATGAGCGCAACACACAAAAAAGTTATAGATGCATACAAAAAAAAAAAATTTATAATATAAGATTTAGGCAAGCAACATTTGCATGAACACAATTGCAATGTAACCCTGATTTTATACAATAGTAGTTCAATAAACAAGAAGTTAAAATTAAGTGACTTACATTTTAGGCACAATATGGACTGTTTTTGCTAAATTTCGCTGAAGAAAATCCTTTTAATCAAAGCCACAGCAGAACTGGGGCCGGCTGCATAAAAGGTTTAGTCTTAGAAGTTAATCTTCTAATTTTTTTCTTTAAGACTGGTAATATTTTTTTTTTAATTCAGTAACATAAAAGCATAGATTAATCTAATTTGAATACAATAATAAGACTGATAGCCCTTTGGCTAACTGCTAGTTGCTCAAACTCATACTTTTAACATTGAGGCTAGGTTTATACAACTGGCCCCTGTCTCCCAGCAACACACAGCGTGTTTTGTTACTGAATGAATCCATGTTTTTGAACGATCGAGGGAGTCAATGATTCTGCAACCCATTCATAAAGAAAAGTAATTTGCCTCGATTATGAATGAATAAGCCATTTGAACGAATCGGTTGAATGAATGACTAAATGACACTCTCATTAAAACAGTCATTTGCTGCCTCCTACTGGTGGTTTGTTTTCATATTTAAAAGTATCATTGCATTTTTTTAAATTTCTTCTTTGTATATTCAAAAAATATTTAAAACATTAATCTTATCAAATTATTTATACATTTGAAATTCTGCGGTGTAAATGCATTTATGGCACCTCAGCTTCATCAAACAGTCTGTGTAAATACATCTAATGCCACTTCAGATGCAGCTTCCGTTTCCTGCAGTAGAAAGATGATTTCATTTGAATGACAACAACTCTACAGTCTCATTATTCCAACTGAATTAATTGAAACAATGTAAGAATTTGATGTGAAAGATAACACATCTAATAAGGTTCGGGAAAAAATTACCATTTACAAACAGTGGGAAATATCAACCGTTTTGTTATATACAGTAACTTTCAGTTAATTGACTCTTTCCAGTCACAGAGCACTTTATTTTTAGAGCTGTTTATGTGAGAGAACATCTGTAACTTAGTCTAGATCGGGGGAACTGTAATGTTCAATAATTTCTTTTATTATGAAAATAAATTTTTTTGCATTGAATTTTTTTTTTTTTTTACATATATGCTGTCAATTATAGTTCTTAGAAAGAAAATCAGTATCGGCAGGTCACTCTTACAAAAAACGGAAATCGGAATCAGCCAAGAAAATTGCAATCGGTGCATCTCTACTTAATACTTTTCCTGACATACTAAAGGAATGCTGTAGACACAAGTTCAGATTGCATTTTCAGTAATGCATTTGTAAAAGGAAGTCTATGGGCAAGGCACCATCTTCAGTAATAATTTGATTGTGGCTACATGTATGTGTGGGTTAGTTGTTCACCTATCAAGTGGACTGTCCAGTGAAGGACAGCTGCCTGACGCTGAATTCTCAGGACTGCTCATAGACAGAGGGTCCAGCATCTATAGAGAAAAAAACAGGAAAATATAAATGAGCCATCAGGACACAGGCTGATTATGCTACTGCTTAGTAAACCCACATCAGCTCAACTAGACTTTGTACCTGGTCCATGCTCTCTGGTATGAACTCGCCCTCACTGTTGATGCTTGTGAAAGAGCCATTTCTGGCCACCTGCTGCAGAGCATCAGGAATATAGCCTGGAGGAGGAGAGCTACGATCGGTTGACTGAGAACCTGGAGAAGAATCAAGAGAGCAACAAACACCTTACACACTTTCATAATCTGAACAGAATGGAGTCAGGTAGATCAAGGTGAGGGATTGAAAAGTAAAAGTGATTTGTCACATCAACCCAAATGGAAAGTCATTTCAGAAGAAGAGTAAGTCACTATATTTTGATTAAAGATAATGAAGAGATTTTTTTTTCAATGAATTGAGCCCAATGAGGCCATGAGTGTGCATTTAAAAAAGTAAATGGGGTCAATTTCATATTTATGTTGACTTCTGTCATGGATGCAAAACCACTGAGTGCAACCCACCTATGAGTGCCAGCATTTTCTTTTTATCTGCAACACTGAAGTCTGTGTTGTCCAGGTTCTCGTGAGCTGGCAACAGGTCCTTACTGGAGACAGAGTTCTGAAAGCACAAGAACATTTGATGCATTTAGCTTTTAGATTAGGTCACAGGTCTCAGACTAGCACTTTTTCTCTGAACGTAATTTATAATGCCCACTGACCTGAGTACAGGAGGAGAGCACAAGCAGGATTTTTAGGCTCTTCATATGCACTGATCGATCCAACAGCTCCACGGCCTTATCCAGATCGTCCTGAGTACTCAACGGAATCACAAGCTACAGGACAGAGAAAAGGAAACCAGGCTTTCTGTTATGAAAACATTCAAATAAACATATCATAAATATGATAAAGCTGTAGTAGCATCTTTTACCTCATTATTGGTGTAATGCAGGTCCATGGTCTGCCCAAATGCTACTTTAGCTTTGGCGCTCAGATCTTCAAGACTGACAGGTCGAGGGAACTGCAGGATCCTTAAGTAACACATAATGCATTACTTTACTAATTACTTGAGAAAAGTAATCTGATTGCGTAACTCAAATGACTTGTAATGTGTTACCCCCAACACGTGATCATATCAAAATTACAAAAATAAATAAAAATCATTCCTATTCCAGCATAGCATCTATTCTGACAGTGTTTGGTTCTTAGTATTTGCATAAACACACACAAACACATGACTACCCAAAACTACATCACTAATCCACTAACACTTTTACTAAATAAGAAGCCCCTTAGTTAATTTGGCTTAGACCAAAACATCTTATGTAAAGTGAATAAAAGTGGGAATAAAAACGCAGGTTTGGACTAGCTAACACAAGAGCCATTACACAGCGTCTACAGGGCTCTGTCGGACAGGTTTAATTAAAGGGGTCATATGATGCTATTTTAAAGATCATTATTTTGTGTACTTGGTGTAACAGAATATGTTGACATGCTTTAATGTTAAAAAAAAACATTATTTTTCAAATACTGTACATTATTGTAGGTCCTCTATGCCCCGCATCTTTCAGCCCCCTCCTTTGACAAGCACAGTCTGCTCTGATTGGTCAGCTGACCCAGTGCATTGTGATTGGCTGAACACCACAAGCACCCGTCGGAAATGTAACGCCCCTTACCATAATCGCGAGCTTTAGCTTTCAAAGAAAATAGACAGTTAATAATGTCATTAGTTTTACCATCAGTTCAAGCCCGAAAGCCGTTCTGTTGTAAATAAATCTTAACCAATGATTCCTAATTGCATCTACTTCCAGAAGGCCAAATAAAGTGCTTTTGTTTTCGCACTGATACACACAGCGTCTCCCTGACATGGCTGCATCAACACTACTGCTGTTCCTGAAACCACGCCTTCTTTCTTTGCATGCACATTTGGGCGGCATTATGCTAATATTTCCACATAGTGAGGTAGATATGTGGGGGCGTGTTAGAACGAGCCGTTTTAGGTAGGCGTGGCTGACTCTTAACTTTTATAAAGAATATCTCTTTGGATTTGAGACTTTAGTCTTTGCAACTTTACAGATCTTCTTTACGCACCAAGAGCTTGTAACACTCCAAAAACAAAGGAAAACTTGAAATCGCATCATATGACCCCTTTAAGAGAAACCTCTAGAGGGAAGTGCTAAAAAAAGAAAGTGATGTAGAGCAGAAGCAGGAATTGTGGTCATTACCTCTTCTCTCCTCTGTACTCAAACTTCACCCTTACATCATTCTGTGGACAAGAAAACACAGTTTTACCCATCTATCAATGCACACGGTTTCTTATTTACAACAGTGTGAAACAGCACTGGGAAACACAGAGTATTCAATATAAATGTAGATTCACAATGATATTTGTGTATAACAGAAAATAAGCATTGATAGCAATATTGAAAAGATTTTAGTGCACTTTTTAATGTGCCTGTGTTGATAGATTAGTTTCACAAACTGTCCTTGTCTCACAGTTTTGTTAACACAGATATTTTAACAGTGCCTCTTATTAAAAAGGGGCATTTAAGATGGTAATTTCCATTACTTCGTTCAAACTGTCTATTTCAATGCATGTATTCAACGAATGCAGCATCACTGATGATCATTGAAGTCTCTATGGTATTTTCCATTTATTAAAATGTTTTTGGAAAATACATTTAGAAAAATATTGCTTTTTATTACTATATATGCTATTTATACCAACACTTGTATGTAAAATTATAAATATGCAATAATTAAAACAAAAATGTGTAAAAAAGGAAAAGAATTCATGTTGAGTTGCAGAAAATTTGGATTATTTTCACCAGATTGATTCTGTATTTTACATTGCACATTTTGGATCAACTTATGCTGTTTAATAGGCTGTTTGGTGTTCCTCGGACTAGAAATTGGTACATAAATACTGAAAAATATCAAGACATTTTAAACTACATAACCCTCTAGTATGAAGACCTGTGTACAGTTAAACGATGTCACTGTCATCACCCTTATTTAACTGTGGTCACTTTTACAGTATACGTTCTCTTTGTATGCGTTCAAGTGACAGATAAGTGGTAAATGCTAATATAACTTATAATGCCCATTTCTCATATGTTTTATTCTATATTAAGATAACCGTTATAGTTAAGAAACTGAGTTTCTTAAAAACAAAAAAGAAAAAAAACCACCAAGTAGCTGGTGCTGATGTGAATAACAAGAGTCAATGCAGACCTGGTTCTTAGGAGAGGAGGCCTTGTGTTTGCCCAGGTCAGGCAGACCAGATGGTCGACTGGATCGATGCAGCACCACCAGGTCTTGCATGATAGAATTCAGGGCCTCCTGCTCATCTACAAGGTATTTTTATAACACATTCTTATTATAATTATGAATTTCTCAATATAAACACAGATTACATCCTTTGTACTACTAACAATTCTTTCAGTATTTTGATGAACTTTTTAAAACTGAGCACATACCCATTTTGACAGATCACCGGTTCACCCAGGAGTAAAGGAAAGAGGATTCTCCCATGAAATGGGATCCTTTCTCCTATACAAGAAAACAATATTTTTATTACATATATAATACCATTATTTATTAATGAGATTAACATGAAATATTTGTGCTCATTGACAATAAACCATTAACAATCTATTAGTGAAATCACTGGCACTAAATTGTTCTGTTACCGCAGAACAGCAAAAAAAAAAAAAAAAGTTAATCTTTAATTTATATAGCAGCACATTAGAAAGCAATGCTGTTGGATATGGAATTAGAATTACAATTACAATGAGTATTTTTTTGTTGTTGTTGCAATTACTCAGAATTATCACATGACATTAGAATCATAGTTTCTCATTAAAGGAATAGTTCACCCAAAAATATTGCTGAAAAATGCACTCACCCTCAGGCCATCTAAGATGTAGATGAGTTGGTTTCTTTATCAGAACAGATTTGGAGAAATTTGGCATTATATCACTTGCTCACCAATGGATCCTCTGCAGTGAATGGGTGCCATCAGAATGAAAGTCCAAACAGCTGATAAAAACATCACAGAAATCCACAGGCAAACCACACGACTCTATTACATCAATTAACATCTTGTGAAGTGAAAAGCTGTGTGTTTGTAAGAAACAAATCCGTCATTAAGGTGTCTTAACTTTAAATTGTTGCTTCTGGCCAAAATATAGTGGACTCTATAATCCATAGTAACACTTCCTCGAGTAAAAAACAAAAAACAAAAACTCAACCCTCTGTTGTCCTCCATCAAAATCCGCCAACATATTTGTTTATAACTGATTTAGACTGTTTTCACTTGTAAAAGTGGCTTGATCTGTGTATATTTCAGATTAAATTCATTTTTCACTGGTGAAAGCAATATTATGGATATAGGACTCGTATTTTAGCTGGACACAGCAGTTTGAAGTTAAAATGAGTTGATGAATTTGTTTATTCACTTCACAATACATGATGGTATGATGGCACCCATTCACTGCAGAGGATTCATTGGTGAGCAAGTGAGGAAACGCTAAATTCCTCCAAATATGTTCCTATGAAGAAATAAACTCATGTACAAATTGGATGGCCTGAGGGTGAGAAAAATGTAAGTACATTTTCATTTTTGGGTGAACTGTTCCTTTAAAAGACCCAGTTACTGTACTGTCTTCAGCAGGCATCTGTCAAAATCTGAACTGAATGCCGCTAGATGACAGCAGCAGCTAGTTTGACTGATACACACACACACATAAGTATTTGATTTAAACTCACACAAAATCATGACATCTAAAATAAAAGTAAATGTCAAACTACTGAAAAATATCGTATCGGAACAAGTCGTAAGTCGACTACCCCATTCTTGGCCATGTATGACAGTTCACGTAAAACATAGTAACGACTGACAAAATAACACACACAATATGATAAACTGTAAAAGAACGATTTCAGAAAAGAAGATTTAAATTAATGTACCGATACATTCTAACGGCACGCAAAGCTAATTCCCAAGCTAACTGATTAGCTTGCTAGCACCTGTCAAAACTATGGCAGGTCAAAGTAACCCAATGCAATTACATACTAATGCTGTACTAAGGTCACAGTGGCATTTAGTATTCAATTCTGTCTCGTCTGCACCAAGACACAATGTTAAGTATAACTACGGCCCTAAATCATATTTATAAACACACAGTTAGCCGCTTAGCTCTCTAGGCCAAAATTAGCATTGCGCCAAGACGCTAACGAGCCACTTTGTGCTTTAACAGCTAACAGAGAGAGTTTTACGGTCGTATATGATTAAAATACCTTTATTACGCATTCATCTAATAAAACAGATACAAATAAAAAGTATTTAATCACCTGGGTGAGCTCGGTCCGTTCACTTCCTCATCCACAGATATGAGGCCTCGCGACGAATCTGACACTCTTGACAGACTCAATTAAAAGGCTTCAACTTTAGTCCAAGGCCTGACTACACGGCCAAATCATCTCCCGCGGACTCCAACACACTTAACAGGTTGGTGAAAGCCGCTGACGGTGACTCCAGGCGAGTTCGTGGATGAAGACTGCGAAACTGGGCTTGTTTACATTCGGTTCAACGCGCTCGACCCGACGAAGAGCAACTGCTGTCAAATAGACTGACAGAAGAATATTACGATTTACGAACTAAGACGATAGCAATGCACAAGCATTAGAAGGTCTGGTCAGAAAATTAATCCAAAAGAGAATACGACACATTTAGCAAAAGATGTTGGATATTAAGTACACTTATAAAACACACACTACTTTAGAACAGCACCGCTGTCCTTTGACTCAAACAACTCACGTGACTCCACAACGCCATCTGCCGACTGTCATCTAATTAATGCATCGGATGGCCAGAGACTCGCAGCGTCAAGTTCTAGCCAATCAAGAGAATGTAGTTCGCTTCCTCTTGACCAATCAGAACATGGAATTCTTGCTAAATAACTCCCAGGCACATCTCCTCACTCTACAGCATGTATTAAACATGTAATTCGCTTGGTTATTTGTAATTTAGATAATTCAGTCTATGCCGCTAATGGCAAACGAGGGAATTATAATGGACTCTTTTAGAATATATGTTAATTGTTTGACCGCCTTCATTTTATTCATCAAACCATCCTGCCATCTGGTGGATAAAGGTAAGGACTACATAGAGATGGATAATGCATTTACTGTTACGTTATTTCTGAAGTCATGCATCATCTGTCTGTCAAAGTTTATGTACATGAAATTTAAAAATCACAATTATGAGGGCAATGTTACAAATTGAATTTTATTGCAAAGTTTCTGAGAGGCCATTTTTCATTCATTTTCACGTGGTTCAGGTAAGTGTGACAGACTATTATGATTTTTTTTTTTAGTGTTTAAATAGAGTTTAAACAGAACAAATGAACACAGCAGGTCTTCAAAGTGTAGTTTATTCGTACAAAATTCAGTAACGTAGGCATTTCCACACTTCCTAATTTCATACAATGCATTAAGTTCACAACCCTCAAAAACAACATTTATTTCATCCCAAAAATAGTTCATTTCCACCAGTTCCCATTATCCATTTGTTGCCTAGAAGGCTAGTGCACAAAAAAAAAAAGAGGCACAATTTTGCATTTCGCCTTAAAATGTTTTCCACTAAAGAGGAACCAACAGAAAATCCTCGCTCTTGAATAACAAATTAGATAATAATAGCCGGACATTGCTGTGATTTAAGGTGTTTTCCTTACACGGTATTTATATTAATATTAGTGTCCACAGGACAAGATTTTAGCACAGTCTTCTTAAGTAGCTTTGTAGTTGTATTAGGATTTACTCATTCGTGTTTGCTTTAGGAATTTTCTGCTTGTAAGCTAAAAGTCATTAAGCTTACATAAGTACCATGTTAAATAAATAATGAGCTTAGTGCTAAAGCTAATTTAATAGTAAAACATCTATATACAAGGTCTTCTTGACCATATTTCATGCTATTTTTTAAGGCTGAGCAAAATGAAAAAGCTACAAGAGAAAATTACAGACAGTATGATGTAAATTAATTCTGTAAATGAATAATATAATACAATTTTTAAAAAGCAATTCTTGAAGTAATTCGTATTGATTCGACTATATGAAATAGTGCCTGTTCTAAACGTTTTTAAAATAGCTATATTCACACAAGAGCACTATTAAAACAGTCTTAGAGGCACTTCACACATAAATAAAAGCAACATTCTTCGCTGGATAAAAGCTGGAGGAGGCACTATATTACACAAAAACACTAACAGTCTTTGGACTCCAAGAAGCACAGTATGAATTATGGTTTAAATTCACACACAGTGTGTAATGGCAGATTACTTTCGGTCCACAAATCTAAGGTTGATAGGTGCTCCCGGACAGAGCAGGCCATGAGTCTTAGCACACACATCAGCGGTCTGGGGAGACACCTCAATGTGGAACTTCTGCAGGAGCTGTGATGGAGAAGAACATCAATACACCATTAGACAAGGGAATTAGAGTTCACATTCAAGTAATATCGGTCTTTATTACAACAATCTGCTTAATAATAGCACCACTACGGTTTGGATCTTTTGAATTTTGAGACACATATATAAACGAGCACCTGTGTAAGAGCCAGATGCATCTCCAGCTCGGCTATTCTCCTCCCGACGCAGCTGCGGATGCCGTAGCCAAACGGGATGGAGCCGAAGTTATCGACACGGTCAGAGGCATCCTTGCGAATCCAACGATCTGGACAGAACTCTCCGGGACGGGGGAAGTTCTCTTCATCCATAGAGGTGGAGTAATGACACAGAGCCAGCTGAGTCTGCGAACACAGGAAGTTGGGAGATTTTTCAATAAAAACAATAGCTACTATGTTTAGTTATTAGTTATTGATTTAATAGTTGTTGAAAGTTTGTGTTTTTATCATTATAATTTTAATTATTAAATCATATTAATATAAATTATTTTGTTGCTTCACATTATTTTGTAAATAATAAAAATGCCCCCCTCGAAATTTCCAGAGGCATCCTAGTGGGTTGAGAACCACTGATTGAAGTTATTCCCTTATTGCGTAACAATTGTTTTCTTTTAAAGTCTTTTAAATCTTTTTAACAAATTAATGCTGTGACAATACAAGTCAGCTGTGTTTTTTTTTCTAGCACACTTTATCTACGTATATCCAGGTCAAGGTAATTAAATCTAGAACTGCAGGAAAGAAAGGCATGAAACCATGCTTCTACTCGGGGGCAGGTTTTGACACTTGTTTATGAGACAAGCATTTAAAAATGTGCTTTTGCATACACATACAGTCACATGATATATGTTCTTACCCCTTTAGGAATGAAATAACCTCCGACGATCAGATCCTCCTGTGTAACGCGTCCATTTCCAGGCAGAACAGGGAAAAGCCTGCATGCGTTAGAGAGACGGAGGGAAGTGTTTATACTGTTTGATTTTTGAATGATCACTGTATTTCTGTCCTAAACTCAATAAACTTTGCAATAAATAATGAGTGGTGGGCAGAGCTTACCTTAGAGTCTCTTTAACAAGCCCTCTAATAAGGGGCAAATGAGCAACATCCTCTCCGGTTGGGACACGCCCACCCAGCACTCGGTCTACTTCCTCAAAAATGTCCTGCTGTATTATGGGATGTCTTGCCAGAAGGTATGTGCTCCATGACAGTGTGAAAGAGGTCTGTAGAGGGGCAGAGAGAAGAACATTTGATGACTTATTAGAGATTAGTAACATGATCTACACTAATTCCTCTGCTTGGTGCAAAATTAAAGATATGGGGAATAATACTTGATATAGTTAAGCAATATCATAAAAGCATGTGTTGTTTTTCTGAAATATGACGCATATGTGATATTGATTTATACCACAGTATTTTCCAGTGAAAATAGGTCTAAACAAGGCCACAGCAGTGTTTCATTACTGAATGAATGAGCCATTTTGAACGAGTCAGTTGAATGAATGATTCAATGACTCACTCATTAAGACACTGTTTCGTTTTTTTCTCATCCTGTCATATTTCTTTATTCAGAATTTTATATTTAAACATTAATCTCATAAAACTATTATGGAATTGCAATGTAAATGCATTCATACCACCTCTGAGCTGCATTAAACAGTACATCTAGAGGTGTAAATACATCTAAATGCCACTTTAAATGCAGTTTCTGTGCCATTTTGGAGGCGCAAAAATGAATTTTGTTAATGCTGATTTAATTTGATTGGTACCAGCAATTACAATAATTAGGACATAGTGTCACGATGTCTAATTATTCTAATTGAATTTACTGATAAATTTAAGAATCTGACATAAAATAACTTATGAAGGTAAAAAAAACATGCCCCTGTAAATCAAATTAAAAGGACAAATAATGGAAAATATCATTTCTGTCACCGCTCTACTATATTTTGCAGTTTTGCATAAGACGTTCCATTACATAACCACTGATTCACTCCCATGGACTGATTCTCCCAAACCTGTCCATCCCCCAATGCCGCTTTTTCAGCCTCCTTTCAAAGATTGCCCAGCCAACATCATTCACTCTCCCCATTGTTAGGCCATCTCTCTCCACCCCTTCATCCTGTAATGAACCACCTGCCATGCTTCTCTCCATTCATCATTACTTTTATCTCAGATAAAACTGGGCCTAAAACGGCTGCTGTCATGTGTGTTCAGCTTCAGTGATCACAATGTTCACCTTTTTCTTTTTGGGTGACTAATTCCTTTTTGGAGCAAGAACCCAAAACAGGCACCTTGCCAAAAGGAAAGCAAGACAAAGAGACAGACAGGCGGAGAGGGAAAGATTACATGACCGGCTTTGGCTCACGATGGCTAATGTGATCATACGGCTGAAAGAAAAAGAGAGGGAAAGATCAAATAGAAGAGGATGCCAACTGACACATCAGTGAAAGGGGAGAGTCTTGGCAGGTCTTGTTTATTGTGGGTGAGATGTATGGAGAGAGGTCAGCGTTAGGTACAATTAAATATTACATTCAGAATGTAAAATGTGTATTGCAGCAACACTAGGCATTGTGCAGATCTCTATGAATACTGTGCAATTTTAGAAAGACCACTGTATTTCTGTCATTAGCTCAATAAACTTTGCAATAACTAATGAGAATTTTTCAGAGTGGTGGGCGGAGCTTACCTGAGAGTCTCTTTGACAAGCCCTCTAATAAGGGGCAAATGAGCAACATCCTCTCCGGTTGGGACACGCCCACCCAGCACTCGGTCTACTTCCTCAAAAATGTCCTGCTGTATTATGGGATGTCTTGCCAGAAGGTATGTGCTCCATGACAGTGTGAAAGAGGTCTGTAGAGGGGCAGAGAGAAGAACATTTGATGACTTATTAGAGATTAGTAACATGATCTACACTAATTCCTCTGCTTGGTGCAAAATTAAAGATATGGGGAATAATACTTGATATAGTTAAGCAATATCATAAAAGCATGTGTTGTTTTTCTGAAATATGACGCATATGTGATATTGATTTATACCACAGTATTTTCCAGTGAAAATAGGTCTAAACAAGGCCACAGCAGTGTTTCATTACTGAATGAATGAGCCATTTTGAACGAGTCAGTTGAATGAATGATTCAATGACTCACTCATTAAGACACTGTTTCGTTTTTTTCTCATCCTTTCATATTTCTTTATTCAGAATTTTATATTTAAACATTAATCTCATAAAACTATTTATTATGGAATTGCAATGTAAATGCATTCATACCACCTCTGAGCTGCATTAAACAGTACATCTAGAGGTGTAAATACATCTAAATGCCACTTTAAATGCAGTTTCTGTGCCATTTTGG